GTATAACTTTATATCCATACATTCCCCTCTTTGCTTTCACGGCAAAGTTTCTTCTCTCCACAATTCCTATCACCACACTCACCCTTTTCCCCTCCTTAAATCTAGATTCACCTCATCCTCATAGACCCATCGCTAGACACTGTCCACTCCCAAATTTTGAATACATTGTCTACTTCCTCATACTCACACCTCTCTCAAATCTGATTACAATCTTTCGTCCCAATCTTTTTTTTTCTCATCACCTTACTCTTTCCTAGTATTCCTCTTTTAATGCCTTCTTTACAAATTCATCAAACCACCACTGCAGCTTCTTTCAATCCTCCCTAAAAACTCACCGTGTTCATCACAAAGAGTCCAACGTGACACACTCACAACATTGTGTTTGATTCCTTATCTTTTTAACTCCACCCTCTTGCCAAGACCCTCCACAATAACACTCTCTTACACCCCATCTATAAAATATCGACTGCCTATGGTGTACATCACACATCTTGTCAAGGCCTACTTTTAAAGGAAATAAACTCCCTACTTTACATACTTTTAACCGATCCTATTAACCCGTAAAAACTCCCGATACTCTTCAGAAACATACCTCTATACCAACACCTGCAACATTGGCCTTAATTTGCCCCCAATCTACCCTGTCATACGCTTTATACAAATCCATTTAAATGCCACAAAAACTTAGTCCTATCTAAAATTGATTTTCACCTTATATGATTTCACCTCTACCATACACTTGCAACGGTACTTCAACAGACTTATTCACCCTATAATTTGCAATTCTTTTTCACTTTGCTTTTATCCAAAGAACTTATTACAAGACACTCCTGCATAGTGTAAAGCGAGAGTTAAAGCTCTCGCTTTACACGTTGAGTGTCTGGGTTCGATTCCCAGCGAGGGTAGAAACATTGGGCGTTTCTGTACACCGGTTGTCTATATTTACCCATCAGTAAAATAGGTACCTGGGTGTTAGTCGACTGGTGTGGGTCGCATCCTGGGACAAAACTGACCTAATTTGCCCGAAATGCTCTGCATGACAAGCGGCTTTATACATAGTAGTATGTTATTGATGTCAGCTATGGTCTGTATACTTTGTACATGTACTTGTAGTAAATAAATTTATTATTATTATTATTATTATTATTATTATTATTATTATTATTATTATTATTATTATTATTATTATTATTATTATTATTATTAGAGACAGGATGCTTCAGAGATGAGGCACAACAACAAGGGTCACATTTGGAAGGTGAAGACTCATGAATCACAAGGATGTTAGGAAGATTTCTTCAGTCACAAGAGTTGTCAGGAAGTGGGATAGTCTGGGAAGTGATGTAGTGGGGGCAGGATCCATACATAGCTTCAAGAAGAGGAATGATAAAGCTCATGGAACAAGAAGAGTGACCTAGTAGCGGCCAGTAAAGAGGCGGGGCCAGGAGCTGTAACTCGAGTAAGGATCTTAGGCAAAACTATCGTTGTTTTAAAAGGCAGCTTATTCTGGCTATAAAGCGCTTGTATGTTGTTTTGCGTTGTTTACACTGTAGCTGTGGCTGTGATGGTGCAGCATGGAGCAGGACGTGGAGGGTGGATGCCCGCCTCACTGCTTTTCATTGCTAATTGAAAATGAGAGCTCTGCCAACCCAGTGCACAGCTCTCTCTCTCTCTCTCTCTCTCTCTCTCTCTCTCTCTCTCTCTCTCTCTCTCTCTCTCTCTCTCTCTCTCTCTCTCTCTCTCTCTCTCTCTCTCTCTCTCTCCTCTCTCTCTCTCTCTCTCTCTCTCTCTCTCTCTCTCTCTCTCTCTCTCTCTTCTCTCTCTCTCTCTCTCTCTCTCCTCTCTCTCTCTCTCTCTCTCTCTCTCTCTCTCCCCTCCTCTCTCTCTCTCTCTCTCTCCTCTCTCTCTCTCTCTCTCTCTCCTCCTCTCTCTCTGACGAGGTGTCAGAGTGGGCGCCTGTAACGAGCGGGGTTTTACAAAGGTCCGTCCTAGGGCTGGTGCTGTTTCTGGTATATGTGATCGATATAACGGAAGGGATAAATTCAGAGGTATCCCTCTTAACAGACGACGTGAAGCTAATACGGAGAATTCAAGTGGATGAAAATCAGACAGGACTACAAAGGGATCTGGGATCGTTTAACGAAGGGGATAAATCAGAGGTATCCTCTAACAGAAGACGTGAAGCTAATACGGAGAATTCAAGTGGATGAAAATCAGACAGGACTACAAAGGGATCTGGGATCGATATAACGGAAGGGATAAATTCAGAGGTATCCCTCTTAACAGACGACGTGAAGCTAATACGGAGAATTCAAGTGGATGAAAATCAGACAGGACTACAAAGGAATCTGGACAGGCTGCAGGCCTGGTCCAACAACTGGCTCCCGGAATTTAACTCCCACCAAGTGCTAAGTTGTGAAAACTGGGCAAGGTCAATGAAGATCGTAGACAGATACAGGCTAGGGGGCCGAAGACTGCCAATCTCATTCAAGAAAAAAAGGATCTTGGAGTGAATATAACACCGAGCACATCTCCTGAGGAGCACGTCAACCAAAAACTGCTAAGAATAGGGTTTCGACACTTGAGTAAGGAACCATTCAAGACTCTGAACACTGTTACGTCGGCCCACGTTGGTGCATGCAGCACCAGTATGGAAACCACACCTGGTCAAGCACGTTAAGAAATTAGAGAACTGCAAAGGTTTGCAAGAAAACTAGTCCCGGAGCTAAGGGGCTCTGATCCACCAGGAGGCCTAGTCACAGACCGGGCCGCGGGGGCGTTGGCCCTCGTAACTCTCTCCAGGTAAACTCCAGGAGATGGGACACAGTAACAAGGGGTCACAACTGGAAGTTGAAAACTCAGATGAGTCACAGGGATGTTAGGAAGTATTTCTTCAGTCATAGAGTTGTCAGGAAGCGGAACAATCTGGAGAGTGATGTAGTGGAGGCAGGATCCATACATCATAGCTTTAAGAAGATATACCATAAAGCTCATGGAGCAGGGAGAGAGTGGACTTAGTAGCGACCAGCTAAGAGGATCCACAAACAGATGAGTACACACGTAGCGACCAGCTAAGAGGATCCACAAACAGATGAGTACACACGTAGCGACCAGCTAAGAGGATCCACAAACAGATGAGTACACACGTAGCGACCAGCTAAGAGGATCCACAAACAGATGAGTGCACACGTAGCGACCAGCTAAGAGGATCCACAAACAGATGAGTACACACGTAGCGACCAGCTAAGAGGATCCACAAACAGATGAGTACACACGTAGCGACCAGCTAAGAGGATCCACAAACAGATGAGTACACACGTAGCGACCAGCTAAGAGGATCCACAACAGATGAGTACACACGTAGCGACCAGCTAAGAGGATCCACAAACAGATGAGTACACACGTAGCGACCAGCTAAGAGGATCCACAAACAGATGAGTACACACACGCAACAGGCGAAGTGTTTATTAACACTGAAGAACTGAACCCAACGACCTTGGCGGAGAGAAGGGCAAGATTAATAGCTACACACGATCACTACACATAAGTCGCAGGTACGCACACTGCCTCCCAGCACACATAAGGGGGATTACCAATAGACCCCTGGCTGTCTTCAAGCAGGCACTGGACAGGCACCTAAAGTCGGTACCTGACCAACCGGACTGTGGTTCGTACGTTGGATTGCGTGCAGCCAGCAGTAACAGCCTGGTTGATCAGGCCCTGATCCACCATGAGGCCTGGTCACAGACCGGGCCGCGGGGGCGTTGACCCCCGGAACTCTCTCCAGGTAAACTCCAGGTGAGAGAGGGCAGGATCAATGGGACAGGTGGAAACCGAAGATACAAATGTGTTTTAATAACAATAATAAAAATAATACGATCTTTACTTACACAAGTACATGATACAAATTATATAGACCATAACTGACATCAGCGACATACTATATAGAAAGCCCCTGGTTATGCAGAACTTTCCGGGAAATTATGTTAATTTTGTCCCCAGGATGCGACCCACACCAGTCGACTAACACCCAGGTACCTACTTACTGCTAGTTTCAGAGTGGTTGAAAGGTACAATGACTTGCATGAGGAAGTGATAGAGGCAAACTTACTACGCAGCTCCGAGACTAGACATGATAATCGTTAATAGTAGTATTAGACGGACAGGCTTTTATACAACTTACATGTTTCACGTGGGAGGTTGTCAAACTTGAGTACATAAGTAAGTAAGTATAGTCAGGTACACATAAATACAGTTACATAAATTTTCATACATAGCAGTATATGTATAGATTACCTAGGATAAGTCAAGAAAGTCAAAGTGACTTATTCATCGATACCATGCCTAACCCTTCTAGGGTAGGGTAGGTGCCTGAGCCCGAGCCTTTAGCTCATAAGACTGTCATTCCCATTTGCCCCCTTGGGGCGGGGATGGCAGACCAGAGAGGCCTAGCTTGTGGCTAGGCCTGGGGACAGTTGGTCCCAAAGATGAGGAGGTACTTGTGCCTCCTCCCATGTGAGACTTAGGTCTCAGACACTCCCTAAAGAGGGAGCCAAGGCCGGGCCACCACTTGGAAAAGGCCCGGGCCGGGAGAATACCGGCTAATTTATAATAATAATAATAATAAAATAAGTGACTTATTTCCACTGAGGACCTTGGACGTCACGTGTCCCTGAATGGAGATTCAAAGTCCTGGTTACTGAGCAAGTTACAGTAGTAATAATTTGGTTACAAATGTAGTCACATGACCATGTCAATAAAACATATTCGTTACACTGGTCCAAGTGACAAGACATAAGGACACTGATGCTAAGCATATTATCCCGATTATGTGCTGGCGGGCGTACGTTATATATATTTTTACATATTAACCCTTCACACAACAGGGATATTAAAGTTACACCACAACGAACAGATGCACTATGATAATGCATAACAAATAAATTACCACCGCTAATGAGTGATAACGAAAAATATAGAAACTCATAATAGATGGATAAAGATACAAGTGCAGTATCATGCGATCCTTGGCAGTGTGAGGGTCACTTGTGGCATCCTTGGGTACCTTCCTCATTGAGCTACACATAAGGGAAGCAGACATGTCCTCCCCACCTGTAGACAATATTATCCTTCTGGCAGACTGTTATAAGGTAAGCAGATGTAGCATAGATAATCCCGGTGTTAGTATAGATTGGAAATGTCAACAAAAGCCAGTTTATGCCCTGTCTGGTTAGGTTACCTAACCAACTTTAGTTGGTGAGGTAACCCAGCCAGAGCCGAGCGGCAGAGACATCCAAGAGTCTGTTTATTTTGTTGGATGCTCCATAGACATGTGGCTCCTCCTGCATGATAGAATGATAATAGATGGACTGACAAGTGTCAGTCTCCCTCAGCAACCCAAGATTGTAATTGCTCACTCTTTGAAAGTATATAACTTGGCCAATCATTCATGCATCTGAAAACCAATGTGAGATGTAATCCACAGGTGCAATTTGATTCCACTGTCTAAAATCCTACCATACCTGTGTCTGGCTTCTGACACAACCATACCACAATTTATACTTAATGACTTGAAAGAATTTATGATGTTATATTTTGTTAAATAATTAATTAACATGAATTGTAAAGGACCTGCCTAGTATGGGCCAGCAGGCCTGCTGCAGTGTTCCTCCTTTCTTATGTTTTTATGTTCTTAAGTACTCACTGTCGTCAACTAATGATGTATATTATTTTTGTTGACTTACGTACAGAATAATGATAAAATTTCACCTTCACTGATGAAGATTTGCATTGAGTAAATATTTTGAAATTGATACTTAAAATCCTGCCAAATATAAACTATACGAGGCTAGTTAACCATTATTTTGTGCTAATGTCTAAATATCCATTTAATTATTAATAATCCTGCAGGGTCAAATTTAATATTGCTTTTGCAAAAAAATAAAAAAAATAAAAAAAAATACTTTCTTTTTTCTTGCAGTCGTGTCACTACAAAATTTATCCTCCTGGTACAACTACTCTCTACGCTTACTTTGAGTCCAGAGGCGGCAAGTGAGTACAAAGCGCATCCAGTTCTGTAAGATAAGATTTTTTTCGGGTTTTTAACCCGGGGGAAGTTTTAGCCGCCCTGGATAACCCAAGAAAGTCAGTGCGTCATCGAGGACTGTCTTGTTTTCATTGTTGTCCTTCAGACATGTTTTCCAGGATGTGACCCACACCAGTCAACTAACACCCAGGTACCTACTTACTGCTTGGTGAACAGGGATAGCAGGTGTAAAGTGATTAACAACCAAATACCTACTTACTGCTTGGTGAACAGGGATAGCAGGTGTGAGGTGATAACACCCAGGTACCTACATACTGCTAGGTGAACAGGGATAGCAAGTGTAAGGAAAAACGACTCACGAAATCGTAATAACACGATTGCAAATAAATTACAGAACGGGAGGGGCTTGAACCCATGGCTGGCAAGTAATAAAACTCACAAAACAATGTTCTTAACAACTGGTACATGCTGGTCTGCGGGTTTTAGGACTAGCTTACCATAGGTTCGATCCCTATCCGTTCTGTGACCTGTAAAGTGTGAATGTGCTCACCTATTTGTGGTTGCAGGGGTCGATTCATAGCTCCTGGCCCCAACTCTTCGCTGGTCGCTACTAGGTCCATTCTCTCTTCTCTATGAGCTTTGTCGAACCTCTTCTTAAAGCTATGTATGGATACTTACTCCACTGCATCACTCTCCAGATTGTACTCACCTAATTGTGATTGCACGGGTCGAGACTCAGCTCCTGGTCCCGCCTCTTCATTCATAACTTATGTGTCTGAGTTTATTAAAAAAAATGATGTGTCGTCTGTCAGCACAATTTGTCTCCTTGATGACTACATGATGCATCGTAAGTGCCCCATGCCCTCCGGCGGTGCTGGGGTATAAACTTCCACAGGTCAGCGTCACAGGTCAGCGTCACAGGCCAGCGTCACAGGTCAGCGTCACTGACCTATAAAGACAAACTCAACCATCATGTTTGACGTGACACTAGGTTACGGTATCCCACTTAACATACTTGTGGAAAATTGCATTTATCTGAATGTAACTAATTGTGTACATAACAGTAAATGATAACTAAGATAATTATTATTTATCAATGTTACATAGACAAGTAGGAATTTGGGACACCTAGGTCGCAAAAAATGTCCCCATTCGATACCTACCACTGTCATATCCACAAGTTGCTCTGGACCTATTAATTAAATGAAATATACATACACCAGGAATGCTGGTAAATATATAAATTTGTGGACTGTATATTAAAAATAATAAATGGTTACATATATACACAATTACATAACAGAAGGAAAATATATCTTAACATCACTCACCAATTTGACTGGAGATTAATGTGTATCATACTCAGAAAACCTCACTCTAACTAAATCTATGAAAATAATGCTGGCCAGAATTACACACAAATCTAGAGAGCTTATCTGAGGTTCCTGGAGCTGTCTTGTCCAGTCGTCTGATATCTCAAGTTATGCAGGAATGCACATCCACCAATTTCGCCTCCTATTTGAGAAGTGTCAACGCAATTTTAACCTCAAGAGCACGAAAAATTCTTCCCATTACACCAACGTTGTATCCAATTCAAAACCAAGATGGCGAGTCTCGTCTGCCCAGAGGCAGGCTTTCCGTTTTCTATGACATAAAAATTATTAAATACAGTATGGCCATCTATTTACATATAAATACCTGGAGTTTACCTGGAGAGAGTTCCGGGGGTCAACGCCCCCGCGGCCCGGTCTGTGACCAGGCCTCCTGGTGGATCAGAGCCTGATCAACCAGGCTGTTGCTGCTGGCTGCACGCAAACCAACGTACGAGCCACAGCCCGGCGGGTCAGGAACCAACTTTAGGTGCTTGTCCAGTGCCAGCTTGAAGACTGCCAGGGGTCTGTTGGTAATCCTCCTTATGTATGCTGAGAGGTAGTTGAACAGTCTCGGGCCCCTGACACTTATTGTATGGTCTCTTAACGTGCTAGTGACACCCCTGCTTTTCATTGGGGGGATGTTGCATCGTCTGCCAAGTCTTTTGCTTTTGTAGTGAGTGATTTTCGTGTGCAAGTTCGGTACTAGTCCCTCTAAGATTTTCCAGGTGTATATAATCATGTATCTCTCCCGCCTGCATTCCAGGGAATACAGTTTTAGGAACCTCAAGCGCTCCCAGTAATTGAGGTGTTTTATCTCCGTTATGCGAGCCGTGAAGGTTCTCTGTACATTTTCTAGGTCAGCAATTTCACCTGCCTTGAAAGGTGCTGTTAGTGTGCAGCAATATTCCAGCCTAGATAGAACAAGTGACCTGAAGAGTGTCATCATGGGCTTGGCCTCCCTAGTTTTGAAGGTTCTCATTATCCATTTTGTCATTTTTCTAGCAGATGCGATTGATACAATGTTATGGTCCTTGAAGGTGAGATCCTCCGACATGATCATGATCTCCCAGGTCTTTGACGTTGGTGTTTCGCTCTATTTTGTGGCCAGAATTTGTTTTGTACTCTGATGAAGATTTAATTTCCTCGTATTTACCATATCTGAGTAATTGAAATTTCTCATCGTTGAACTTCATATTGTTTTCTGCAGCCCACTGAAAGATTCGGTTGATGTCCGCCTGGAGCCTTGCAGTGTCTGCAATGGAAGACACTGTCATGCAGATTCGGGTGTCATCTGCAAAGGAAGACACGGTGCTGTGGCTGACATCCTTGTCTATGTCGGATATGAGGATGAGGAACAAGATGGGAGCGAGTACTGTGCCTTGTGGAACAGAGCTTTTCACCGTAGCTGCCTCGGACTTTACTCTGTTGACGACTACTCTCTGTGTTCTGTTAGTGAGGAAATTATAGATCCATCGACCGACTTTTCCTGTTATTCCTTTAGCACGCATTTTGTGCGCTATTACGCCATGGTCACACTTGTCGAAGGCTTTTGCAAAGTCTTTATATATTACATCTGCATTCTTCTTATCTTCTAGTGCATTTAGGACCTTGTCGTAGTGATCCAATAGTTGAGACAGACAGGAGCGACCTGTTCTAAACCCATGTTGCCCTGGGTTGTGTAACTGATGGGTTTCTAGATGGGTGGTGATCTTGCTTCTTAGGACCCTTTCAAGATTTTTATGATATGGGATGTTAGTGCTATCGGTCTGTAGTTCTTTGCTGTTGCTTTACTGCCCCCTTTGTGGAGTGGGGCTATGTCTGTTGTTTTTAGTAACTGTGGGACGACCCCCGTGTCCATGCTCCCTCTCCATAGGATGGAAAAGGCTCGTGATAGGGGCTTCTTGCAGTTCTTGATGAACACGGAGTTCCATGAGTCTGGCCCTGGGGCAGAGTGCATGGGCATGTCATTTATTGCCTGTTCGAAGTCATTTGGCGTCAGGATAACATCGGATAGGCTTGTGTTAACCAAATTTTGTGGCTCTCTCATAAAAAAATTCATTTTGATCTTCGACTCTCAGTCTGGTTAGCGGCTTGCTAAAAACTGAGTCATATTGGGACTTGAGTAGCTCACTCATTTCCTTGCTGTCATCTGTGTAGGACCCATCTTGTTTAAGTAGGGGCCCAATACTGGACACGTTGTTCTCGACTTTGATTTGGCATAGGAGAAGAAATACTTTGGGTTTCTTTCGATTTCATTTATGGCTTTTAGTTCTTCCCGCGATTCCTGACTCCTATAAGATTCCTTTAGCTTAAGTTCGATGCTTGCTATTTCTCGGACCAGTGTCTCCCTACGCATTTCAGATATATTGACCTCTTTTAGCCGCTCTGTTATTCTTTTCCGTCGCCTGCAAAGGGAGCGCCTGTCTCTTTCTATTTTACATCTACTCCTCCTTTTTCTTAGAGAAATAAGCCTTGTGCATACATCGAGTGCCACCGAGTTAATCTGTTCTAGGCATAAGTTGGGTCTGTGTTGCTTAGTATATCTTCCCAGCTTATATCGGTTAGGACTTGGTTTACTTGGTCCCACTTTATGTTTTTGTTATTGAAGTTGAATTTGGTGAATGCTCCCTCGTGACTAGTCTCATTATGTCGGTCTGGGGCTCCACGCATACATGTCTGAACCTCAATTATGTTGTGATCTGAGTATATTGTTTTTGATATGGTGACATTTCTTATCAGATCATCATTGTTAGTGAAGATGAGGTCTAGTGTATTCTCCAGTCTAGTAGGCTCTATTATTTGCTGGTTTAAATTGAATTTTGTGCAGAGATTTAAAAGCTCGTGTGAGTGTGAGTTTTATCAGAGCTGCCTCCTGGTGTTATTACTGCAACAATATTATTTGCTATATTCCTCCATTTTAGGTGCCTTAAGTTGAAATCCCCCAGGAGCAAGATGTTGGGTGCAGGAGCTGGAAGATTTTCCAGACAGTGGTCAATTTTTAACAGCTGTTCCTGGAATTGCTGGGATGTTGCATCCGGAGGCTTGTAGACTACCACAATGACTAGGTTTTGGTTCTCGACCTTTACTGCTAAAACTTCCACTACATCATTTGAGGTATTTAGCAGTTCTGTGCAAACAAGTGACTGCAATGTACAGGCCAACCCCCCCTCCTTTTGCCTGTTCACTCTGTCACATCTGTATAGGTTGTAACCTGGGATCCATATTTCGTTGTCCAAGTGATCCTTTATGTGGGTTTCAGTGAAAGCCGCGAACATTGCCTTTGCCTCTGCAAGCAGTCCACGGATGAAAGGTATTTTGTTGTTTGTTGCTGGCTTTAGACCCTGTATATTTGCCAAGAAGAATGTTATCGGACTGGTGGTATTGTTGGTACTGGGGGGGGGGGAATTTTTTTTTCGGCATTAGTATCTGTATCTGTTGGTTTGGAGTGGAGGCCATCGACTGTGGTTCCACTCCAGGAATGACTGGATTTGGTGTACGATTTCTGCCATTTCCTGCCAGTTTTTTTTTTCCTGGCACTAAAAAACCTCTCCTCTTGAGTGGCTGTGGCTACCCAGGTTTTTCCATGGCCTGGATGTTTTTGTATCTTTTGTACTCTTTAGATGGTGTTGCCTGGCAATTTAAGTTATAGCACAGTCTTTCCTGTACTGAAGAGGTACACATTTCAGGATGAAAAAGCTTACAGGAAGGGAGTTTGCATTTTCCTGTTGTCATATGGGCATGGCATTTTCTAGGGTGGTCATAGTTGCACGTCCCGTCTGTTTTTCAGATTTCCCATGTCTGCAGATACCAAGTGCATAGTATGTGCACAGGCTTGGTTTCCGTTTGCCTTGGGTTTCTGTGACTGTATTCCCTGTTGGTGCATGTTTCCCTGTCTTATTCCTATCCTCCCTAGCACCAACAATGGAGCTCCCACCAGTTGTTTTTGGTAATATATCCTCACTATTGCTAGTGGAGTCCTCTTGTTTGCTATTTCCTGTGGTATTTCTCGTTTGCAATATTGGTTTTATCTTATCTTTGACTACACTTGTTTCCCCACTACGGCTCCTGTCCCCTATGAGGTCATTTATATGTATTCCTTCCTGCGTATAATTCCGACTACCTGGACAAAATCTCCAGCTTCACCATTACTGTCTCCCAGGACAGCACCTCCAGCTTCACCATTACTGTCTCCCAGGACAGCACCTCCAGCTTCACCATTACTGTCTCCCAGGACAGCACCTCCAGCTTCACCATTACTGTCTCCCAGGACAGCACCTCCAGCTTCACCATTCTGTCTCCCAGGACAGCACCTCCAGCTTCACCATTACTATCTCCCAGGACAGCACTATCAGCCCCACATTTACTGACTACCAAATACTGAATTTCTGGAAAATATATACAGTATTTTCCACAATACTGTTGACATGACATGCCACTATGTATGTACGTAGGCGGAAAATCGTAACAAATTATATAACAGAAAACAACTTTGAGTTGTTCTGTTATGGAAATAAATGGTATAAAATACCGACACAATGGCAATATAAACACAAATGCAGTATAATGTGATCCTTTATTGACTACGTTTCGCCCACACAGTGGGCTTTTTCAAGTCACAAACAGTTCTGTTTGTGACTTGAAAAAGCCCACTGTGTGGGCGAAACGTAGTCAATAAAGGATCACATTATACTGCATTTGTGTTTATATTGCCATTGTTCTGTTATGTCGAAGGATATCCCTCACGCTTGATCTTCAATCCCTCATTGCTCTGTACACTGAACAACTGCCCCTGTCAATTGTTTTCGTGTCTTGAAAGAAAGTTGAGACAAGGATAGGAAATCGGTCCACTCTACCTTGACCAGTGAGGTCGGGAAGCAACTTGTCTTCCCTGTGCACGATGATAAGTATCTTGGAAGAAAAATATCCGTTTATCGGTGCAGCAACCTTTTCTCCGAAAAATGGTGTCTCGTTGGCGGAGAGTTCAGTTGGATCATGACTTGAAGGCACTTGTGAAAGGATGTATATGCACTGCGGACTGCCATCTTGGTGCTATCCAGTGCTAGAACTAACTTAGGAGTGACGATGTTTAAAATGTTTGCAGGGATGTAGTCAGTGTTGTGAATAAAAGTCCAGCATCGGCTTCACCAGCTGTAATTGACTCTGACTCGTGAATGGTTTCAGGGAAATGAAAACTAGTCGATATTTCGATCAGTCTTGGACTACTATCAAGACACCAATGACTTGATAATGGTCATGGATGTAGCAAAATGCCCTCTGGTTTTCATTTCCAATTTGTGGGTTACTTGGGAATGTGTCGGCTAAGAACTGTCTAGTATGAACCAGGAGATCTACTGCAGCGTTTCTGTGATATTTATGTACCTACGTGCGTTTCGCCGTCAGGTTTCCGTATACGGTATTCTTCGGGCTGCAGTACATATTGAAGAGATGGCTGTGCGGCCCGGGTTTCAAACCAACCCAGGGGGCCAAAAGTAAACCCTCCTTAAAGAACACGTTTTCAACAACTGGAAACATTTTTGGGATGAAAATCCGGGGGTTTAATATTTAAAAACCGTATTTCTCCCCTAAAACTATTATTTTCCAAAACAAAAAGTTTTTTTTCCCTTTTTTTTCCACAAAAATTTTTGCAAAAAATTTTTTTTCCCCCACTTTTTTTTGGAAAAATTTACATGAAGAAAAAAGAGGAAATCGATGCCGGGGCTGGAACAATTTTTACAACAGTTAAAAAAACCCAACTGGGCGAACTAATGGAAGGGCGTCGTCTGCGCTCAGAAAACGGAGGACAACCCCCACCCCGTCTTGCCCTGAATGACCCATATATTTTTTAGCGTTAAACATAAATTAATTATAATTACCATTTGGGAATTACAAATCAAAAAGGGTCCATCGTGAATAGATCAGGAGGAAACCCGAACTTTGCTGGTTTCTTTTCAAATTTTGGGGGTTAGTTATAAATAAAACAGAGGGATAATACTTTACCAACCTTCAAACTTTGAGTGCCATTTTTCAGTTTTCTTACTTTATGAATTTTGTTTTTCCCCCATAAATGAATTGTAACCATTCATTTTAAAAATTCATTAAGCTACAGCATGTGAGAATCAGGAAAAACAAGTGACTCTGTGGGGCAGACGTTTACACTACTATAGGGCGAGAGTGTGCACAAGTGAGCACAAGAGGTCTAAAAAAACTCCTTTCTTTCCCTCCCAAAAACTTTGATCCTTTGTTTTTATATTTACATTTTTAAATTTTTTTTGGTTTAGTTTAATCTTTGTGCTCAAACAAACTCACAGATTTCTAATTTCGATTTGGGAAATTATGTCGGTTACAAAAATTTTGAACTATGCTTACCTGGCGATAAAAAAGACGGAGAATCGGCTTCACTCCTTGTCAAAATTAAAAAAACCCAAAAAAAAAAATCAGCAGGGGGCCTTTCCCCACCTTTTCAGTAATTTAGTACAAAAAAGTTTCAAACGCACCGGTTTATAAATTTTTTGTTTTATTTTTCTCATAATAAAAATTTTTGTTTTGATGAGCAGCGTCACGGGGGGGTCCCCCCTGCGTGTGGGGGGCAGTCCCCGAGGGCACGGTGGTACCCTAAAGAATGCCCTTTTTCTGGGGGGAAAAACACTGACCCGGCGTTCCTGGATCACCGTTTCTTCAGGTAAGTGCCAGGCCGGCGGGGTTACCCCCCGGCTCCCGTAGTTTTGAAAATTAATTTAGGGTACAATGAAGGGCATCAACATTTTGGGTCATTTTAAAGGGTTTCTGTCGAGACTCAATAGCATTTTTTTTTATATATATCCACCTCCCTCACTATGAGGCATCAACCTTTTCAGGTCGTTTTTAACTGGGCTTCTGTCTGAGACATCAACAGTAATATTTTTTGTAGCAGCCTCTTCTCAACCATATATTGATACAACTAGATCTATTTGACTGGTGTTTTTTCATCCGGGGTATTCCCCTACGAAGTCAGAGCTACTTTATCAAATAGTTGTTGTTAGCATTACAACTGTACTTTCTAGCTTATCTGTTATTCACCCAAATCACCGTAGTTAAAAAAAAGATAATTAACATTGCACGCTTCTGGATTCAAGTTTCACTAACGTAGAACCGTTTTTACAAAATACAATTTTTTCGTTGCAGACATTGTGGTGCAGATTGGTACCCATGACAGTGGCCACTAAAATCTCGCTTCTGGCCCAAAATCCCCACTACAGAACCTCACCCACGACAACACCCAAAACCTTTTCTTTTCGGTGAGATCCTTGTGTTACACGTGTCTTGCTATCGTTGGTTTTCTTGCCCATCCTGGCAGGTCTTACTCCCCCCCCAAAACCCCCCCATTCATTATTTACTAACCCTTATCAATTAAAACCAAAAAATTTTTTTTTAAAAAACCAAATTTTACTTTAAAAACCCTTAATTTTTTAAAAGGGGTGGACGGTAAGCCCGGGAAGGCCTCGGGCGATACCAAAAACTCCAACGGCGAGTCGCATCCTGTTTCCGCGAACCTAACCCAACCCCAAATTAAGTGAAATTTATTTTAGAATTGCATTAAACATCCCAATCCATTTTGTGAATGGGTTTTTTAAAAAAATTTTGTAGGTATAAAATGCCAGGAACTAAGCCCAAAAACATTTAAGTAGGTCATAGTACTAATTACTGTTTACATGAATAATGGCATTACCTGGAGCAATAAACTAGTTACATAATTAGCAAATTCAGTAACATGAACATCACAGTTTAACATACCTATCCAAGAGAGTCGAGGTGTTCTCAGCATAACATGCAGAATGAAGTGATCATGAGTAAAATAACATTGAGATATGTACACAGCTTCATGATACGGGGTACAGAGGCGTGTCATCCGTAGAGTCAGCGGCGCTGGGTGGCGCAGCGCACATGATCAGTTTCAAAGTAAGTATTATTTCTTAATGGTTATAATTATAGCCATAATTTTTAAAGGGGTGGAGGGGTAAGCCAGTGGAAGGCCTCGGTCAGATGACCAAAAACTCCAGCTGCAGGTCATCATATGACTAAGATCTGCGTCAGGAAACACTTGTCCTGTTTCCTGACAAACCTTACTTAACCTAACATAACCTAAATGGCAGTGTAATTGTTCTTCAAAGTGAAATGCAGATTAAAAAAATAATAATACTAGAAACACTGGTCAATAACACAAATGAATCCACCTGAAAAGAATAAAATAGGTCAGTAATGTTTAGTTTGTCTTTTATTGATGTTCTCTGACGACTTTATTGTTTTGAGGGTTAAATTAGACATCCCTTATCCTGAAAAACTTTGGTATGAGACCTATTTTTTTGCTCAAAATGAAACCATCTAATGTGTTTATCCAATGTATTCATCTTTGGATTTATTTGTTCCAGTAAGATGAACTTCAAAACAAGACAACGATCTCGATTAACGAATTTTATCTTCTTTTTATGGTTAACTTTTATAATTTAGGAGTAGTATAAACAAATGAAAAACATTCACAAAAACATGAATTTTGTCTTCATTTTTAAATAGGATATATATGTATATATCAGATTCGTCAAGATTTTTAATTACACGTTGAAAAATGTATACTATACACATTCACACTTATGTGAGATCTTACATACATTTTTTTATAAATACTGCAATGTTGAATGTTCCATAATCACTCAATTGTATTCGACTGGAGGATCTCAGCGATAAGCCATATTATTTGGCTTTCTTGGGTTATTTGGGGTCAACCTTTCCATTGTTAAAACCAGAAAGATGTCTTGTTCGTCCTCAGTCATCAGACACTATAGCCGGGACGTCCATGTTAAGAAAATATTACCACTTGAAGACAGTGGCAGGATTTTCGACTCCATCTTCCGAGCATTCCACCATTATATCCTGGGGCAGGGAGAGAGAACTAGACTCTCACAGGCACATGCTCCACACCTACTCTGAAGGTGAGAAATTTAAGAGAGCTAAAAAAAATTGTAAATTACAAACTAGATGTTTCGGTCGGTCTTGGACAATATTAGTTCGCGATTGATACAGGTTCAAGATGGACCGAAACCTGGTATGGGTATTCTCTTGCAGTTTTTTTTGTCTTAGTTGTGAAATGTTCTTACCACAATATTTTAACTTATTTGTTCATATATTATATATATATATATATATATATATATATATATATATATATATATATATATAATATATATATATATATATATATATATGTCGTGCCGAATATTAAAACTGGTCAATTAGCAAGAACTCATTTAAAATTGAGTCCTTTTTGAAATTTTCTTTTATACGTTTAAAGATGTATTTTTTCATTAATGTTAATGTAAAAAATTTTAATTTTGCACCAAAAGAATCTTAGAAAACTTACCTAACCTTTTTTTTTAAAAAAAGCAATTTATTTTACCTCCCCCAACTAAATTTTTTTAAAATCTTTTTTCAAAAATTTAAATACTAAAAAACCAGTTAAATATATTTTTTTTCGTTGGTTCAGAATGATTTTGGCAAAATTTTGCATACAAAAATTTTCACTTGTCCTATATGGAAGATAAAACTTTGCTATTTAAGCCAAGATCGAAAGTTTGCCTACAAGGGCCTGGTTGCTCCATCTGAGCTCATAAGACGCCACCCCCCGGGCCCCTTTGAGGCGGGTAGAGGGCAGACCAGAGGCCTAGTTCTCCCTACAGCCCCGTGAGGGGGGAATGTGGCTAGGCGGGGGGACATTTGGGCCCCCAAAGATGGGAGGTACTTGTACCTCCTCCCAGGGGAGATTAGTTCGGGGAAACTCCCCAGATAGGGGACCCAAGGCCCGGGGTCCCACTATTGGAAAAGACCCCCGGGAGAATCCCGGCAAAAAAAAAAAAAAAAAAAGTTCTGCCTATTTGGCCAATTTTTTTTTTTTATATATATATATTTTTTTTTTTTTTTTTTTTTTTTTTTTTTCAACAGTCGGCTCCCCCACCGGGGAGGGTCCCAAAAAAGAAAGAAAACCCCAAAAAAGAAAATACTTTATCATCTTTAAACCTTTACCCCTTCAAATTACATGTTTTTGCGGGTGCTCAATCAACGTCTAGAAGCATCACATTAAAGAACACAACATATCCCCCAAATCCAAAATTTCCCAACCCCTCCTTTAAAGTGCAGGCATTGTATTCCCTTTTTCCGGGCCCAATCACTTATGAAAATAACCGGTTTCCCTGAATCCCCTTTACTAAAAAATTTCCCCGCTCACAAATCCAACGAGTCAGGGCCCAAGTACCATTCGTTTCCCTTTACTCCTATCTAACACGCTCACGCACGCTTTCTGGAAGTCCAAGCCCCTTACCCACAAAACCCTTTACCCCCTCTCTCCAACCCTTTCGAGGACGACCCCTACCCCGCCTTCCTTCCCCTATAGATTTATATGCTTTCCATGTCATTCTACTTTGATCCATTCTCTCTAAATGACCAAACCACCTCAAACAACCTCTCTTCTGCCCTCTGACTAATACATAATATAATATATATAATATATATTAATTTTATTATTATATAAATTATATTTATATATAAATATCTTATATATATATATAATATATATAATATGCAATAAGATCACAGTAAACGTGATTCAGAATATGCAAAACAAACCCCACTCTGTAAGAATAGAGAAATTCCAAGCGCTTTCGTGACTACTCCCCATTATCAAGGAACTTTAGTTCCTGATAATGTGAGTAGTCACGAAACGCTTGGAATTTCTCTATCTTTCGGGAGTGGTTGTTTTGCATATTTATATATATATATATATTAATATATATTTTATATATTATATATATATATATATATATTATATATATATAAATATTATATATATATATATATATATATATATATATATATTTATATATATATATTTATATATATATATATATCGACAGATGATCCAGAATATTAGAGCTGTTTTACCAGTAGACGAGGCATTGATCCGGCCAATAGCACTCTCCTTGGCACTCCTCTTGGGTCCAGTGCCATATATCTGATCATAGAAAAAAAAAGTCTCAGACCTCCGGACGATGGAAGGCAGGATGAAAGACACTGATACACATGATGCCTTCTACCTACTCACCAGGTGCCTGTCAGTCCCAAAACTTACCTACTTTCTGAGATGCTCCCCAGCCTTCAGCAGTCCAAAACTCAAGGAATATGACTCTCTCCCTTAAGACCATGCTAGAGAGTGTATTGAATCTTTCCCTTGAAGATGGACAGTGGTTGCAAGCCTCATTTCCGGTCAGGCTTCGGGGCCTGGGAGTACGCAGATCCTCTCAGATTGCTCTACCAACTTTCCTATCCTCTTCCATAGCATCAAACGAGTTAATAAGACAAATTCTTCCAGATAGCCTCAGTGACTCAGCAGGAATACAGGACCCTAGCTCTGCCAGTGCCATCACTGAATGGGAGACTTGCTGCTACAGCACCAAACCCTAGTGCAGCACTGGCTCACAAACAGTCAAGCTGGGATGGCCCCATCGCCGAAAAGGTGCTTGCAAACATGCTCAGGGCTGCAACATCAGACAGGGAGATTGCCCATCTCCAAGCTGTGAGTGCACATCACTCCGGGGACTTCCTCCAAACAGTTCCCATATCGGCAATGGGAACGCTCCTGGACCCTAAGACCCTCCGTACTGCAGTGGTTCTGCGCCTTGCTGCCCAAATTCACACGGAATATACGTGTATTTGCGGCGATGCGCAAGCCGACCAATATGGTCTACATGGTCTTAACTGTTCCAAAACCAAGGGCTGGCATGCAAGACACAATGAGGTCAACGACATCATAAAGAGAACCCTTGCTACGGCTGGATGCCCAGCCGAGAGGGAGCCCCGATCACTAGCAGCCAACGATACCCACAACCCAACAAACCGCACTGATGGGATCACCATCTATCCTTGGAAGAATGGCAAGCTCTTAGCATGGGACTATACCTGTGTGTCCACAATGGCTGACACCTATATCCATCACAGTGTCGGGCGACAGGGAGAAGCTGCTGACCACAGGGAGGAGTACAAGATCAGCAAGTACAGGGACATAAGCCAACAGTATCAATTTGTCCCAGTGAGATCAGAGACCTTGGGATCATGGGGAAAACATGCCACACGTTTCTTTAAAGAATTGGGTACCAGACTCATCGACACCACCAGAAACCCAAGGGCAGTCACTTTCATGTTCCAGCGCCTCAGGATGGCAGTCCAGAGGGGAAATGCATGCTGCATACTGGGCTCGCGTTCAGCTTCGATGGGGCTGGAGGAGATTCATAACCTTTGATATATTGTACCAATGTACTCATGTTTGTGTTTTCTATCAATGTGTTCTGTCTATTAATAAGGTACACATATAATATAAATTATAGGGGTGGTAGGAGAAGAAAATATTCAAACAGCTCCTGGGAAACATTGAGTTTTCCCCGAGGTACGTTTATTGTCTTCTCTGAGGATGAGGGTCCCCAGTAAATCTATCGCTAACTAATAATATCCGAGACCGACCGAAACGTCTAAGACAAAGTGATAACAATAATAATATTTATTTCTACAAGTACTACATGGAACCTATTATCAGAGTTTCCTAACTTGAGCATAAAACCGAATCTCTATTATCCTGTGATTATTTTTATTTTGGATAAATTCTAGTCTTAGCTTCTCATTCTGAAGTGGAAGGCCTCGGTCAGATGACCAAAAGCTCCCGCTGCTGGTCATTACATGACTAAGACCCGCGTCAGGAAACACTTGTCCTGTTTCCTGACAAACCTTACCTAACCTAGCCTTCTCATTCTCAATATGTAGTATGTATATATGTACCTATTTATTGACCGGACCACTGAGTGACTTATTGACCATAGCGCTCTGTCTTTTAATAAAAAATTCGCTCCCGATGAACGTAATGTGTCCAGAATCAAGGCTTGCTGTTGTGGAAGCAGCTGTATAGCCCTTGTGGCTTAGCGCTTCTTTTTGATTATAATAATAATAATGTTGTGGAAGCTAGGCTCAGTAAGACTGAGACTAGCTGTTGTAGAAGCTAGGCTCAGTAAGACTGAGACTAGCTGTTGTGGAAGCTAGGCTCGTAAGACTGAGACTAGCTGTTGTGGAAGCTAGGCTCAGTAAGACTGAGACTAGCTGTTGTAGAGCTAGGCTCAGTAAGACTGAGACTAGCTGTTGTGGAAGCTAGGCTCAGTAAGACTGAGACTAGCTGTTGTAGAAGCTAGGCTCAGTAAGACTGAGACTAGCTGTTGTAGAAGCTAGGCTCAGTAAGACTGAGACTAGCTGTTGTGGAAGCTAGGCTCAGTAAGACTGAGACTAGCTGTTGTAGGAGCTAGGCTCAGTAAGACTGAGACTAGCTGTTGTGAGAAGCTAGGCTCAGTAAGACTGAGACTAGCTGTTGTGGAAGCTAGGCTCAGTAAGACTGAGACTAGCTGTTGTAGAAGCTAGGCTCAGTAAGACTGAGACTAGCTGTTGTGGAGCTAGGCTCAGTAAGACTGAGACTAGCTGTTGTAGAAGCTAGGCTCAGTAAGACTGAGACTAGCTGTTGTAGAAGCTAGGCTCAGTAAGACTGAGACTAGCTGTTGTAGAAGCTAGGCTCAGTAAGACTGAGACTAGCTGTTGTAGGAGCTAGGCTCAGTAAGACTTAAGACTAGCTGTTGTCAATTTAGATAGGAGAAGCAGGTCATCCTCTGGGATTTATTTAATTTAAAACCAAGATATGTAAAATTATTTGCTAGGTGTCTGCGATCTAGGGTACCTGCAAAGTGCTTAGTAATTAGGCTAGCTAAAAAAAAAACTGTCTTTGGAGCCTAGGATTCGTTCTAGCTGCTCGATGTTCAAAGTCAACCGTGTAATTGGTAATAAATGCTACTGAAATAAACTGCTTAAATATTCCTCAGTGTGATCAAACCCCATGCGCTTCATGATGCAGGTTTAGTGCATCCCTGAGTATAATAATGGCAATATTATTTAATGGTAACGGTAATACAGTGTGATGACTCTGCCTTGTACTACTAGGTGATGCTGGCTGCGTGTGTGACTCCTACGATATCTGGAAGTGTCTTGAAGATATGTGGTGCGGTGAGCTGCGGGAACTGGTACTGGAACGAGGCAGGAAGGGAGGCTGCATCTATCTCAGGCCAGACAGTGGGGAACCCAAGACGGTGGTCCTTAAGGTTCATTATACCTTACTGTATAATTATGTTCCTAGCCTTATGGGTGACTGAAAAAATCCTGCTTGAACACATAGGTCATTTTTGCCTAACTAGTTTCTAAAATATGCGTACATAAATGGGGACTTCTGATGGATTTCAATGTTTTCGATGAATGAATATTAATTATATAATGTAATTAATAAACTAGTTATACAAATTACCTATATGTACTCTAATTATCTAACTAAGCTAATTAATAAATCATCTTTGCTAGACCTTATTATAAGCCATTTATAATAATGAGGCTAATTATTATATAAATGTTTAGACACTTAGTAGAAAATTGTGAATGTTTTATAACGTTGACTGGGTATGTTAGGACTTTGAAATTTGTATATCATGAAAAATACTGTGTACCTGTTCCATAGACAATACAAGGTGTAGGTAATCAACTGAGACTGGAGATATCTGAATATTTGAAGCTATTAAAGTATGCAAATTGTCTTGAGTAATATGTTTAGTAGAGACGAATATATAAACCATTACTTGAGCCTCGCCTATCTTTGTAATTCAGTTGTTTAAACATCACAATAATATTTAAATGTTTACTTTCTTCCCCCTGTCTCCCGTTCCTTCTTCAGTGCCTAGAGATCCTGGGTTCGGCATACGGCACAGACATCAACTCTAAGGGCTACAAAACTCTTCCTCCTTACCTCAGGGTCATTCACGCTGATGGAATTAATCACAAGACACTCTGTAAGTTAGCTCACATAGTTTTTACTGGGTGCATAAGTATATATATTTTAGAATATATACAGGATGACGCAAATGTGAGGACACACACTTCTGGGTTTTTTAAATCTTTCTGAAGGTTTCTCAAGGAATATCCAGCTCCAAGGATGTCCTGTGTGTCCAGACCCAAGGAAGTGTGTCCAGTGTCCATACATTTGGGCCACCCTGTAGAATGACAGGAAACTCACTTGAACTACGCGATAATATATAATGAGCTATGCAATTATCGGTTCTTTTGAGTCGCATGGAAGGGGAACTCGAAATAAATCACACTGTGGCATTTGGGTTATCCTAATGTAGTTATGGAGAGAAATTTCATAATATATCGACACGATAGATATAGACACAAATGCAGTAAAAGACTGCATTTTACTGCTATAAATATATATTTTTTATAATTTTCTATAGATGAGGCAGTGCTGCCTCCTGTTGCTTAACGTTTTCTTTCCATTGTGCCACTACTGAAAACGAAAGTGTTTTTGTTGTGTTAGAGACGAAGACATGCATTTCATTCTCAAATTGTGAAGACGAGTAATATGAATATATCAGTCTAGTAATGCGAATCAATTTTCCGTTGCAGGGGGTATATTAGAGCACCTGAAAAGTCATGGCTGGAGCACGGAAAATGCTTATTTTGGAGCCGGAGGCGCTCTGCTTCAAAGGGTCAGTAACTTACTGTTTCATATTGGTTTTTTTTCTTCGGTATTCCCGAAGGAAAACCTTGAAGTGGATAAAAAAAAATCCTTTAGGTTTTCGCTTATAACTTGAGAAGCCTGATTCTTCGGTTGATTTCAGCGCTAACCTTGGGTTACTAAAGTTCATGGAATTATTGGGTGGGAGGTTTCCTTTTGTCTGTTGTAAAAGCCATTTTTTGATGTTTCCTTGCGATATAACTTAGAATGCACTTTCGAATGGCTTAAACTTCAACAGTGTGTCTCAACTTACAAAAGGATTGGGATTGTTACTGAGAGTTGGAGCCAACTGTGTTATAAACAGTTCATTCATTCTGCAAAATAACTTGAGTATGACTCTTTTAAACGACTTCAGTTTTTAATGACTGATGTTTTTGTAAAGCTCATACCTTTCGGGTTTAGGCTGTGTAGGTCTAAATTTGCTAACATAAATTTGGACTTGTTATATTCCGTGGAATAACTGGAAATTGCGTCTTGTGGTGTGTTTCATCTTATTAACAAGGGATATATACATGTATTTTGAGGAATGTATTTCTATGGGCGTTTATATGATGACACTTTAATTCATATTTTAGGGATTGAAGTATTCTAGTTTAGTGGTGAAACGGTTATTATTATTATTATTATTATTATTATTATTATTATTATTATTATTATTATTATTATTATATAACACATCGGCCGATTCCCACCAAGGCAGGGTGGCCCGAAAAAGAAAAACTTTCACCATCATTCACTCCATCACTGTCTTGCCAGAAGGGTGCTTTACACTACAGTTTTTAAACTGCAACATTAACACCCGTCCTTCAGAGTGCAGGCACTGTACTTCCCATCTCCAGGACTCAAGTCCGGCCTGCCGTTTCCCTGAATTCCTCCATAAATGTCAAGTATTAAAAACCATTTGTCTCCATTCACTCCTATCAAATACGCTCATGCATGCTTGCTGGAAGTCCAAGCCCCTCGCACGCAAAACCTCCTTTATCCCCTCCTCCAACCCTTTCTAGGCCGACCCCTACCCCGCCTTCCCTCCACTACAGATTTATACACTCTCGAAGTCATTCTGTTTTGTTCCATTCTCTCTACATGTCTGAACCACCTCAACAACCCCTCCTCAGCTCTCTGGACAATAGTTTTGGTAGTCCCACACCTTCTAATTTCCAACCTACGAATTCTCTGCATTATATTCACACCACACATTGCCCTCAGATCTGATATCTTCACTGCTTCCAACCTTCTCCTCGTTGAAACATTCATCACCCATGCTTCACACCCATATAGGAGTGTTGGTATAAATATACTCACATACATTTCCTCTTTGCTTCCAAGAACAAAGTTCTTTGTCTCCTCAGACTCCTAAGTGCACCACTCACCCTTTTCCCCTCATCAATTCTATGATTCACCTCGTCTTTCATAGACCCATCTGCTGACACGTTCACTCCCAAATATCTGAATACATTCACCTCCTCCATACTCTCTCCTTCCAATTTGATATCCATCTTTCGTCACCTAATCTTTTTGTTTTCCTCATAACCTTACTCTTTCCTATATTCACTTTTAATTTTCTTCTTTTGCACACCCTACCAAATTCATCCACCAATCTCTGCAACTTCTCTTCAGAATCTCCCAAAAGCACCGTGTCATCAGCAAAAAGCAACTGTGACAACTCCCACTTTGTGTGTGATTCTTTATCTTTTAACTCCACATCTCTTGCCAAGACCCTCGCATTCACTTCTCTTACAACCCATCTATAAATATATTGAACAACCTCGGTGCAGCTTTAATGGCCCTCGTGTAGTCGACAGGCTTTAAACCCCATTAGCAAACCAAATTATTAGCGTTGGTGTTCTTCTTTCAAAGAAAGTTCGCATTAATTTTGGGTTATGTAAGTTCTAATTTGCCAATTTTATGTAACAAATTAATTTCCATACAATAACTAGACTATGCTTCGTATGATTGGCTTTAAGGTTAACTCAGTCTCTGGTGTATCTCTCTTAGATATACCAGCGTTTTCAGCGGTGTACGTGCTAATTTCCCAATTTTATTGAAGAAATTTGTAAAATTTCAATGCAGTATTTCGTGAATGTTTCATCTAGTCGGTTTGAAACCTTAAATTTCTGAGCGGTTTCAAGCGTAAAGTTCTGATGTATTTTGGGATAATGGTCTCTATGCTGAGAGAATGCCTCGTCTGACTGGATTGTAACTTACATGGGGTTGAGAACTGGTTTTGGACAGTGCTGGTGCCAGTTTTTCCATTCTTTGAAACATTTTTAATCCTACTTTTATGTGGTAACTTGTGAATGCTTCTTTGATTGATTACAAGGATTCAACAAAAATATTTGACTCCATTAAAAACTTACGTCGCACTCTGTGTACTTAATTTTTGCGTCCATTGAGGTAGAGAGAAAAGTCATTCGAGCTATTCCAGGATGCTGGAAATGGGTTCACCAATTTTGGTGATAGGGCACTTGAACATTCCAGTTCCAGGTATTTAGTCCCCGTTGCCGTTCACAAGTGCTGAAGAATGGAAGGTGATTAGATGAGTCCTTATCGAGTTATGAGCGAAATGAAATCGACTAGTTGGAAGAAGTAAAAGAAAAACGAAAAGATTCGGTTAATAGCATAAAGGTGCCCCCTTCGGGATACCTAACAACAATAATAATAATATTATATGATGATGATAATAATATAATATCTTGTATTATTCTTGTAATAGATTGACCGGGACACGCAGCAGTGTGCCTATAAGGTGAGTTATGTGGAGACAGACGGACAAGGCAGAGATGTATACAAACAACCAATTACAGACTCCATCAAGACCAGCAAAAGAGGCCGCCTCTCCCTTCATTGTAACGATGGTGTTTACACCACCATGCAGGGCAGCAAGGGGCATTCACCCAAGGTAAGCAAAACACCACGGAGGGCAGCAAGGGGCACCCACCTAAGGTTAGCCAGGTACCATGCAGGGCAGTAAGTCGCACCCATCTAATATAAACTAGGCACTCAACGATTGTCACACCATGTGTCATTATGTGCTAGAGTGAGATCAAATTAATGAATTCAGAGACAACTTTCTCAAAAATGGTCCAGAAATGCCAAAGTATTTTATCTACAGTGGCATATTACCAACCATTCTGGACAAAAATACCCTGACTTTGCCCGTTTTACGTAAATAATGCATGACCACTTAAACTTTTTACAAACGTACCTCGCTAAAAAGGTTAAGTTTTGGTATTTGTTTTGTGTGACCTAATTCATGTCTAAATAAGCAACTCATTACCGTTGTAACCAGGTGTAAACATGTAAACAGTTAATTACCACTGTAACCAATTATACATTTCGGGTTTAGGCTGTGTAGGTGTAAACATGCCGACTTGCTAACACATATTTGGAATTGCTGGATCCTGTCCAAAAATTGGAGAATGTCTCTTTTGCTCGGGTTCATCTTATTAACAGAATATATATCTTCAGGGATGTATTTTTCTCGGAGTATATATGCTGAGAGGTTAGGGTTAATCCTTATTTTTGGAATTGAAGTATCCTTGTCTGGATTTGAAAAGGTTACCGTATAGCATTGATGACCCTCGCGTAGTAGACAGTCAACCAACCTATTAGCGTTGGTGTGCCTTAGTTTAAGGAAGAATTGGTTATAATTATAACCATAATTTTTAAATGAGTAGACCGGTAAGTCAGTGGAAGGCCTCGGTCAGATGACTGAAAGCTCCAGTTGTGGATCATCCATGACTAAGACCCACGTCAGGAAACTTGTCTTGTGTCCAGACAAACTTTACGTAGTCTAAGGAAGTTCTCTGCCCATTTTCGTTATGTCTAGTTTTCTGACGTTTTTCGTTAGCGAATTTCGGAGATAACTATATTGATTTGATTTAGTTTATATATATATATATAATATATATATATATATATATATATATATATATATATATATATATATAATTATAATATATATATATATATATATATATATATATATATATATATATATATATATATTATATATATATATATATTATAATATATATATATATATATATATTATTTATATACCCAATTGTAAAATACTATAATTGACAGAAAACATACACATTATTATTATTATTATTGTAAAAGGACACAAGTGCAACTAATGTGACATTTATTGTGGCAACGTTTCGCTCTCCAGGAGCTTTATCAAGCCATGGCTTGATAAAGCTCTTGGAGAGCGAAACGTTGCCACAATAAATGTCACATTAGTTGGACTTGTGTCCTTTTACTTAACATATTGTCGGTAATTCTACCAACCTTATTACATTATTATTATTATTTTTATTATTATTATTATTATTCCCTTTGAACACTAAATCCTTGTGGATTATACAGCTCTTGAATAATGAGAATTGATGTTATATATGCATATTTTGTCTAGTTACACACAGTATATACACTGTGAGCAGCTCCCGGCCACACAGTATGACTGGTTACCTACAGTTATTTAAAATGCACAGAACTCAGTACGTGGAGGTGGCTGATCCTTCAGGGGGGTTTAGCGAGGCTGGCAAGCCAAGAATTGGAGATGCACTCCTCTGCCTTGGATCGTATCTGACAGTTTTCCGCTCCCCAGATTCTTTTTGTAAACCATGGCTGTCGTTTGGCTGTTTTTTTCGGTACGCCAGTTCCCCTGCTTTCTAATATGTTATTTTTCCCCTATAATCTACCTTGTCCATAATTACAATCACATTTGCTTTGTCTGCTTTCGTAAGGTGAAGTCCAGGATCTTTCCTTAATTCATGGTATAACTTAACAAATCTTTAATGATAATTGTGTTGTAGAGGTGTGAGTTGTGTTATAACACAGTTGTCCTCAAAGATTCGTTAAGTCATACCATGAATTAAGGTAACATCGTAGACTTCACCTTACGAAAGCAGACAAAGCAAATGCGATAGTAATTATGGTCAAGATAGATTATAGAGAAAAAATAAACACAATATTAGGAAATAGGGAAACTCAGGCGCCTCTTAAGGCATTACTGACGAAATTAGTCGTTCGTGTATAATCCGAACTAGATAACAGACAGTCTAAGTTGTGAATTTTTGTGATGGGTGTTTTGAACATAATATTAATAAATGTTATATATTAAATTAAGAGTACTAATATTAAGCTTGCCTAGGCTTCTGTATTTCTTTTGGAAATGCATAAATTACTTGATTAGAGGCTGATATGTGTTGAACAAGGAACCTTGAACCTGACTGCCTGATGTTGCAGGACCTGCTGGTGACAGTGTTTGAGAACGGAGAACTTCTGCAGGACTACACATTCCCAGAGATCCAGGAGAGAGCAGAGATCACTCCCGAGGATTTCGACATCATCAAGTTCTTAGAGGAAGACTCTGACTAATAGCAATTCTGTCACCCACAGCAATAAAAGTCTGTGAGACTCAATGGTGGACTCATCTGAGTCAGTTTCTTGAAGTTTTGAAGGAATTGAAATATTAATTTTCAAGGTTCGTTCCAACTTTCCTTCAAATATATTCATCTTAATGTAAGCAAATACATGACTCACGAATTCGTAATAACACAATTACAAATCTACTGGTTAACGCACTGGCCTGTGAGTTTTAGGACCCACCTGCAATGGGTTCAAGCCCCATCCGTTCCCTGATTTTATGTTTTATTTCGTTGCGTAAATATGTAGCGTATTTATCTCGCAATTAGCGGACGTCAGATCGACTCTCCATAACCTCCCTTGAACAACCCGCAGTAGTTTAGCACTGCACGCAAAATATATTAATAAACCACCTGTACCGTGGTTTGTTTGTAATAATGTCATTACGATTTCGTGAGTTACGTTAATAAGTACTACCTGTACAGTAGGGCCCCATTTATACGGCTACCGCCGGAAAGCGGACAAGTTTATGTGACTGGGTGCACGTAATGGAAATATATTGTTACTATTTCCCAGTGTTTATGTGTCCTTTTGGTTTAGATTTTCCCACAAAGTCACAAGAACAGTTAGTTTTATATGCACAGTTTTGAGATCTAAAGCAATATCACAAACTGTTTATAATGATAATTCTTCCCATTAAGGGAGGAGGGGAGTGGCTTGGTGACGGTGAAGGCTTGGTGATCCATGGAATTGGGCTGTGGTGCATACGTCTTGGATGTAGTGCATACGTCCGGGCTGTGGTAAATGCGTCCGAGTTGTGGTGCATACGCTAGACTGCTGGCGGCGAGCACTAACAGCTTGATCGATCAGACCAGCAACCAGAATGCCTGGTCTGGGATCGAACCGCGGGGGCGGTGACCTCCGGAAGGGACTACAGGTAATCAGTCCCTTAGATTCATTTTAACTCCTATAGAAGTTGTATGACCTCGCGGAGTCTCAGTTCCCAATTAATACATAACAATGATGCATCACTCTACTCAGAGTAGAAAAAAGTGCAATATATTGCAATCCCGTATAGCATGGGTATTTTATGCAGTTTCTCAATTAACGAGGAAAGAGACCTAATTCCCTGTTATATTCGACTACGAAGGATGGGACTCATAAGTGTTGAAATCTGTCAGCCTGAGCCAGGAGACTTCAGGAGGAGAGTGAGGTTGTCGTCATGTATTTTAGTTACAAGAGTGTCGATGGCGACCTTCCAGTATATTTGGAGTTACAATCACTTGGGAATCGTCACCCTCTCAGGGAAGCAGTGATGGGTGTGGCACAGGGTCAGTGATGGAGGGTGACAGAGGCAGGGGCAGTGATGGAGGGTGACAGAGGGAAGGTCAGTGATGGAGGGTGACACAGGGAGGGGTAGTGATGGTGGGTGACAGAGTGAGGGGCAGTGATGGAGGGTAACAGAGGGAGGGGTAGTGATGGAGGGTGACAGAGGGAGGAGCAGTGATGGTGGGTGACAGGGAGGGGCAGTGACGGAGGGTGACAGAGGGAGGAGCAGTGATGGAGGGTGACAGAGTGAGAGCAGTGATGGTGGTGACAGAGGGAGGGCAGTGAATGGGGGGTGACAAGGGAGGAGCAGTGATAGTGGGTGACAGAGGGAGGGGCAGTGATGGAGGGTGACAGAGGGAGGAGCAGTGATAGTGGGTGACAGAGGGAGAGGAAGTGATGGAGGGTGACAGAGGGGGGCAGTGATGGAGGGTGACAGAGGGAGGGGCAGTGATGGAGGGTGACAGAAGAGGGGCAGTGATGGAGGGTGACAGAGGGGCAGTGATGGAGGTGACAGAGGAGGGGCAGTGATGGAGGGTACGGAGGGGCAGTAAAGGGGGGTGACAGAGGGAGGGGCAGTGATGGAGGGTGACAGAGGGAGGGGCAGTGATGGAGGGGGGACAGAGGGGGGGGCCAGTGATGGAGGGTGAGAGAGGGAGGGGCAGTGATAGTGGGTCACAGAGGGAGGGCCCAGTGATGGAGGGTAACAAAGGAGGGGCAGTGATGGAGGGTGACGGGAGGGGCAGTGATGGGGGGTGACAGAGGGAGGGGCAGTGATGGAGGGTGACAGAGGGGGGGGGCAGTGATGGTGGGTGACAGGGGGAAGGGCAGTGATGGAGGGTGACAGAGGGAGGGCAGTGATGGAGGGTGACGAGGGAGGGGCAGTGATGGAGGGTGAGAGAGGGAGAGGCAGTGATAGTGGGTCACAGAGGGAGGGGCAGCGATGGAGAGTGGAAGGGAGGAGCAGTGATAGTGGGTGACAGAGGGAGCGGCAGTGATGGAGGGTGACAGAGGGAGGGGCAGTGATAGTGGGTGACAGGGAGGGGCAGCGATGGAGGGTGACAGAGGGAGGGGCAGTGATAGTGGGTGACAGAGGGAGGGCAGTGATGGTGGATGACAGAGGGGGGGGCAGTGATGGAGGGTGACAGAGGGAGGGGCAGTGATAGTGGGTGACAGAGGGAGGCAGCGATGGAGGTTGACTAGAGGAGGGGCAGTGAAATAGTTGGGTGACCAGAGGAGGGGCAGTGATGGAGGTGAAGAAAGTGGTGGGCATATGGAGGGTGACAGAGTGCTGGGGCAGTGATGGAGGGGACATGAGGAGGGCATATGGAGGGTGACAGAGGGGGGCAGTGATAGTGGTCACAGAGAGGAGGGTCAGTGATGTAAGGGGGCAGAGCGAGGGGAGTGATAGTGGGTGACAGAGAGCGGCAGTGATGGGGGTGACAGAGGAGGGCAGTATGGGGTGAGAGGGCGAAGGCTGTGAGTGGGTCTACAGAGGGAGGCGGCATGATGGGGTGGCAAGCCCCATGGGTCCGTGATTAGTGGATGACAGAGGTAGGTGTCAGCGTGGAGAGTGACTAGGGAGGAGCATTTGATGGCAGGGACAGAGGAGGGGCATGATAGTGGTGCCATGAGGGAGGGGCAGCCCCGATGGAGGGTGACAGACGGAGGCAGTATAGTGGGTGACTGAGGAGGGGCAAAATGATGAGGTGACAACAGCCCGGACCGTGGCAGTGATGGTGGTTGTAAGAGGAGTGCAGTGATTGGAGGGTGACAGAGAGGGCAGTGATGATGGTGACAGTAGGGAGGGGCAGTGATGAGGGTGACATAGGGAGGGCAGGATGAGGGTGACAGAGGTGGTAGCAGTGATGGAGGTGACAGATGGAGGGCAGTGATGGAAGTGACAGAGAGTCCCAGTGATGGATTGGTGGCAGATGGGAGGGCAGTGATGGAGGGTGACAGAGGAGGACAGTGTTGGAGGTGCACAGGGAGGGTATTGATGAGGGATGACTAAGGGAAGGTAGTGAGGAGAGTGAAGAGAGGGGCAGTGATGGATGGTGCCATAAGGGAGGGGTAGTGATGAGGGTGACAGAGGGAGGGGTAGTGATGGAGGGTACAATGTGAGATGACATGATGGATGGGTGACAGATGGACGGGTAGTGGAAGATGCAAGGAGGGCAGTGTGGAGGGTGACAGAGGTAGGAGCTGTTGGAGGGTGACAGGGCGAGAAGCAGTGTGAGAGTGACCAAGGGGGCAGTGATGGAGGGTGACAGAGGAGTGCATGATGGAGATCGACAGAGGGAGGGGCGTGATGGAAGGTGACAAGGGAGAGCATGATGGAAGTGATCCAGAGGGAGGCAGTGTATGGAGATGACAGAGGAGGGGCAGTGATGAGGTGTCCCAGATGGAGGGCATGATGAGAGTGACAGAGGAGGGCCAGCTGTATGCAGAGTGACAAGGGAGGGGCAGATGATGGAGAGTGACCGAGGAGGGGCATTGATGGAGGTGACAAGGGAGGAGCAGTGATGGAGATGACAGAGTGGCAGTGATGGATGGCTGACAGAGGGAGGGGCATGATGAGAGTGTTGAGGGAAGTCAGTGATGGAGGGTGACTAGGGGAGGTGGCAGGTATGGCAGTACAGAGGTGTAGGGGCAGTAGGAGGTGACAGAGGCGAGTGCAGTTGATGGAGAGTTGACAGATGAGGGCAGTTGGAAGTGACAGGGAGGGGCAGTGATGGAGTTGGACAGAGGGAGGGGCAGTGATGGAGGGTGACAGAGGAGGAGCAGTGATGGAGAGTGACAGAGGGAGAAGTCAGTGATGGAGGGTGACAGAGGGAGGGGTCAGTGATGGAGGGTGACAGAGGAGGACGTGATGAGAGTGAAGGAGGGCAGTGATGGAGGGTAACAGAGGGAGGAGCAGTGATGGAGGTGACAGAGGGAGGGCAGTGATGGATGGGTGACAGATGGAGGGGTAGTGATGGAGAGTGACAGAGGGAGGAGGCAGTGATGGAGGGTGACAGAGGAGGAGCAGTGTGGTGGGTGACAGAGGGAGGGGCAGTGATGGAGAGTGACAGAGGGAGGGCAGTGATGGTAGGGTGACAGAGGGAGGAGCAGTGTTGGAGGGTGACAGAGGGAGGGGCAGTGATGGGGGAGTGACAGAGGGAGGAGCAGTGATGGAGGGTGACAGAGGGAGGGGCAGTGATGGAGAGTGACAGAGGGAGGGCAGTGATGGAGGGGACAGAGGGAGGGGCAGTGATGGAGGGTGACAGAGGGAGGAGCAGTGATGGAGGGTGACAGAGGGAGGGGCAGTGATGGAGGGTGACAGAGGGAGGGCAGTGATGGAGGGTGACAGATGGAGGGGCAGTGATGGAGAGTGACAGAGGGAGGAGCAGTGATGGAGGGTGGCAGAGGGAGGGGCAGTGATGGAGGGTGACAGAGGGAGAGCAGTGATGGAGGGTGACAGAGGGAGGGCAGTGATGGAGGGTGACACAGGGAGGAGCAGTGATGGAGGGTGGCAGAGGAGGGGCAGTGATGGAGGGTGACAGAGGAGAGCAGTGGTGGTGACAGAGGAGGGGCAGATGGAGGGTGACAGAGGGAGGGGCAGTGATGGAGAGTGACAAGGAGAGCAGTGATGGAGGGGCAGTGGGAGGGGCAGTGAGAGAGTGAAGAGGAGGAGCAGTGATGGAGGGTGACAGAGGGAGGATCAGTGATGGAGGGTAGACAGAGGGAGGGGCAGTGATGGAGGGTGACAGAGGGAGGGGCAGTGATGGAGGGTGACAGAGGGAGGGGCAGTGATGGAGAGTGACAGAGGGAGGAGCAGTGATGGGGGTGACAGAGGGAGGGGCAGTGATGGAGGGTGACAGAGGGAGGGGCAGTGATGGAGAGTGACAGAGGGAGGGGCAGTGATGGAGAGTGAGAGGAGGGCATGATGGAGGGGACAGATGAGGGTAGTGAGGAGAGTGACAGAGGGAGGGGCAGTGATGGAGGGTGACAGAGGAGGGGTAGTGATAGGAGAGTGAACAGAGGGAGGGGCAGTGATGGAGGTGACAGAGGGAGGAGCAGTGATAGGAGGTGACAGAGGGAGGGGCAGTGATGGAGAGTGACAGAGGGAGGGGCAGTGATGAGAGTGACAGGGAGGGGCAGGATGGAGGGTGACAGATGGAGGGGTAGTGATAGTAGAGTGACAGAGGGAGGGGCAGTGATGGGGATGACAGAGGGAGGAGCAGTGATGGAGGGTGACAGAGGGAGGGGCAGTGATGGAGAGTGACAGAGGGAGGGGCAGTGATGGAGGGTGACAGAGGGGGGGCAGTGATGGGGTGACAGAGGGACGAGCAGTGATGGAGGGTGACAGAGGGAGGGGCAGTGATGGAGTGACAGAGGGGGGAGTGATGGAGAGTGACAGAGGGAGACAGTGATGGAGGGTGACAGAGGGAGGGGCAGTGATGGAGAGTGACAGAGGGAGGGGCAGTGATGGAGAGTGACAGAGGGAGGGGCAGTGATGGAGAGTGACAGAGGGAGGAGCAGTGATGGAGGGTGACAGAGGGAGGGGCAGTGATGGAGGGTGACAGAGGGAGGGCAGTGATGGAGGGTGACAGAGGAGGGGCAGTGATGGAGGGTGACAGAGGGAGGAGCAGTGATGGAGGGTGACAGAGGGAGGGGCAGTGATGGAGGGTGACAGAGGGAGGAGCAGTGATGGAGGGTGCAGAGGGAGGGGCAGTGATGGAGGGTGACAAGGGAGGAGCAGTGACGGAGGGTGACAGAGGGAGGGGCAGTGATGGAGGGTGACAGAGGGAGGAGCAGTGAGGAGGGTGGCAGAGGGAGGGGCAGTGATGGAGGGTGACAGAGGGAGGAGCAGTGACGGAGGGTGGCAGAGGGAGGGGCAGTGATGGAGGGTGACAGAGGAGGGCAGTGATGGAGGGTGACAGAGGGAGGGGCAGTGATGGAGGGTGCAGAGGAGCAGAGGAGGGTGGCAGAGGAGGGCGTGATGGAGGGTGACAGAGGGAGGAGCAGTGAGGAGGGTGGCAGAGGGAGGGGCAGTGATGGAGGGTGACAAGGAGGAGCAGTGATGGAGGGGACAGAGGGAGGGCTTGAGGGGTGACAGAGGGAGGGGCAGTGATGGAGGGTGACAGAGGGAGGAGGCAGTGATGGAGGGTGACAGAGGGAGGGGCAGTGATGGAGGGTGACAGAGGGAGGAGCAGTGATGGAGGGTGACAGAGGGAGGGGCAGTGATGGAGGGTGACAGAGGGAGGGGCAGTATGGAGTGCGAGGGTGAGCATGACGGAGGGTGCAGAGGGAGGCAGTGATGGAGGGTGACAGAGGGAGGGCAGTGATGGAGGGTGACAGAGGGAGGGGCAGTGATGGAGGGTGACAGAGGGAGAGCAGTGATGGAGGGTGGCAGAGGGAGGGGCAGTGATGGAGGGTGACAGAGGGAGGAGCAGTGACGGAGGGTGCAGAGGGAGGGGCAGTGATGGGGGTGACAGAGGGAGGAGCAGTGATGGAGGGTGACAGAGGGAGGGCAGTGATGGAGGGTGACAGAGGGAGGGGCAGTGATGGAGGGTGACAGAGGGAGGAGCAGTGATGGAGGGTGACAGAGGGAGGGGCAGTGATGGAGGGTGACAGAGGGAGGAGCAGTGATGGAGGGTGACAGAGGAGGGGCAGTGATGGAGGGTGACAGAGGGAGGGGCAGTGATGGAGGGTGACAGAGGGACGAGCAGTGATGGAGGGTGACAGAGGGAGGGGCAGTGATGGAGGGTGACAGAGGGAGAAGCAGTGATGGAGGGTGACAGAGGGAGGGGCAGTGATGGAGGGTGACAGAGGGAGGGGCAGTGATGGAGGGAACAGAGGGAGGGGCAGTGATGGAGGGTGACAGAGGAGGGGCAGTGATGGAGGGTGACAGAGGGAGGGGCAGTGATGGAGGGTGACAGAGGGAGGGGCAGTGATGGAGGGTGACAGAGGGAGGGGCAGTGATGGAGGGTGACAGAGGGACGAGCAGTGATGGAGGGTGACAGAGGGAGGGGCAGTGATGGAGGGTGACAAGGGAGGAAGCAGTGATGGAGGGTGACAGAGGGAGGGGCAGTGATGGAGGGTGACAGAGGGAGGGGCAGTGATGGAGGGTGACAGAGGAGGGGCAGTGGATGGGGGGTGACAGAGGGAGGGGAGTGATGGAGGGTGACAGAGGGGGGGCAGTATGGAGGTGACATAGGGAGGGCAGTGATGGAGGGTGACAGAGGGAGGGGCAGTGATGGAGGGTGACAGAGGGAGGGGCAGTGATGGAGGGTGACAGAGGGAGGAGCAGTGATGGAGGGTGACAGAGGGAGGGGCAGTGATGGAGGGTGACAGAGGGAGGGGCAGTGATGGAGGGTGACAGAGGGAGGGGCAGTGATGGAGGGTGACAGAGGGAGGAGCAGTGATGGAGGGTGACAGAGGGAGGGGCAGTGATGGAGGGTGACAGAGGGAGGGGCAGTGATGGAGGGTGACAGAGGGAGGGGCAGTGATGGAGGGTGACATAGGGAGGGGCAGTGATGGAGGGTGACAGAGGGAGGGGCAGTGATGGAGGGTGACAGAGGGAGGGGCAGTGATGGAGGGTGACAGAGGGAGGGGCAGTGATGGAGGGTGACTAGGGGGGGCAGTGATGGAGGGTGACAGAGGGAGGGGCAGTGATGGAGGGTGACAGAGGGAGGGGCAGTGATGGAGGGTGACAGAGGGAGGGGCAGTGATGGAGGGTGACAAGGGAGGGGCAGTGATGGAGGGTGACAGAGGGAGGGGCAGTGATGGAGGGTGACAGAGGGAGGGGCAGTGATGGAGGGTGACAGAGGGAGGGGCAGTGATGGAGGGTGACAGAGGGAGGGGCAGTGATGGAGGGTGACAGAGGGAGGGGCAGTGATGGAGGGTGACAGGAGGGGCAGGTGACGAGGGTGACGAGAGGGGCAGCGAGGTGACATAGGGAGGGGCAGTGATGGAGGGTGACAGAGGGAGGGCAGTGATGGAGGGTGACAGAGGGAGGTGCAGTGATGGAGGGTGACAGAGGGAGGGCAGTGATGGAGGGTGACAGAGGGAGGGGCAGTGATGGAGGGTGACAGAGGGAGGGGCAGTGATGGAGGGTGACAGAGGGAGGGGCAGTGATGGAGGGTGACAGAGGGAGGGGCAGTGATGGAGGGTGACAGAGGGAGGGGCAGTGATGGAGGGTACAAAAGCACACAAGAGCCACCCACTAACTTCAGGAGGAGCTGAGACACCGTTGTGAGTGGGTGTGTCTCTGAGTCTCAGCTTCATGCATCCCAGCGCCTCCACTCAATGTAAGAATTCTTGTAACTCGCTCTTCCTACCAAATACATTTCTCAGAGTCCAATAACCCATGCGGTTTTAGCGCCTGTTCTGTTTAATCCAATATATTACTAGAAAAACAGCGTAACAATATAGGGACATAACAGTACAGTCTTCGTTTAGGTAAGACGTGTTTATATACTATATATATTATATATATATATATATATATATATATATATATTATATATATATATATATATAACCCTGGTTCAGACCTGAATGTCATCCATCCCCCAGCCGCTCCCTAAAGGTTTAGCGCTCACCACCATTAATGTATTAATGGTAATCATTTTGAAGGGCCAAACCCTTAAGGGTCATACGGCTCCTGGGGAATTTGAAGTAACGGGGTTTGATCAGAGGAAATAGATCGCAGCTCCAGTTCCATGAATCAAGAGCCCCTTGATGGGCAGCTCTGAAGTCCCTCCAGTCTCTTGGTTTTTAGATTAAAAATAATGTTCTTACTGCAAAATTTACATTAATTTCAAGGGTTTGCTTTATTTCAAGGGTTTGTTTTATTTCAAGGGTTTGCTTTATTTCAAGGGTTTGCTTTATTTCAAGGGCTTGCTTTATTTCAAGGGTTTGCTTTATTTCAAGGGTTTGCTTTATTTCAAGGTTTGCTTTATTTCAAGGGCTTTGCTTATTTTCAAGGGTTTGCTTTATTTCAAGGGTTTGCTTTATTTCAAGGGCTTGCTTTATTTCAAGGGTTTGCTTTATTTCAAGGGTTTGCTTTATTTCAAGGGTTTGCTTTATTTCAAGGGCTTGCTTTATTTCAAGGGTTTGCTTTATTTCAAGGGTTTGCTTTATTTCAAGGGTTTGCTTTATTTCAAGGGCTTGCTTTATTTCAAGGGTTTGCTTTATTTCAAGGGCTTGCTTTATTTCAAGGGTTTGCTTTATTTCAAGGGCTTGCTTTATTTCAAGGGCTTGCTTTATTTCAAGAGCTTGCTTTATTTCAAGGGTTTGCTTTATTTCAATGGTTTGCTTTATTTCAAGGGTTTGCTTTATTTCTAAGGTTTGCTTTATTTCAAGGGTTTGCTTTATTTCAAGGGTTTGCTTTATTTCAAGGGTTTGCTTTATTTCAAGGTTTTGCTTTATTTCAAGGGTTTGCTTTATTTCAAGGGTTTGCTTTATTTCAAGGGTTTGCTTTATTTCAAGGGTTTGCTTTATTTCAAGGGTTTGCTTTATTTCAAGGGTTTGCTTTATTTCAAGGGTTTGCTTTATTTCAAGGGTTTGCTTTATTTCAAGGGTTTGCTTTATTTCAAGGGCTTGCTTTATTTCAAGGGCTTGCTTTATTTCAAGGGCTTGCTTTATTTCAAGGGTTTGCTTTATTTCAAGGGTTTGCTTTATTTCAAGGGTTTGCTTTATTTCAAGGGTTTGCTTTATTTCAAGGGTTTGCTTTATTTCAAGGGCTTGCTTTATTTCAAGGTTTGCTTTATTTCAAGGGCTTGCTTTATTTCAAGGGTTTGCTTTATTTCAAGGGCTTGCTTTATTTCAAGGGCTTACTTTATTTCAAGGGCTTGCTTTATTTCAAGGGCTTACTTTACTTCAAGGGTTTGCTTTATTTCAAGGGCTTACTTTATTTCAAGGGTTTGCTTTATTTCAAGGGCTTGCTTTATTTCAAGGGTTTGCTTTATTTCAAGGGCTTGCTTTATTTCAAGGGTTTGCTTTATTTCAAGGGCTTGCTTTATTTCAAGGGTTTGCTTTATTTCAAGGGCTTGGTTTTTTTCAAGGGTTTGCTTTATTTCAAGGGCTTGCTTTATTTCAAGGGTTTGCTTTATTTCAAGGGCTTGCTTTATTTCAAGGGTTTGCTTTATTTCAAGGGCTTGCTTTATTTCAAGGGTTTGCTTTATTTCAAGGGCTTGCTTTATTTCAAGGGTTTGCTTTATTTCAAGGGCTTGCTTTATTTCAAGGGCTTACTTTATTTCTAGGGCTTACTTTATTTCAAGGGCTTGCTTTATTTCAAGGGCTTACTTTATTTCAAGGGCTTACTATATTTCAAGGGCCTACTTTATTTCAAGGGTTTGCTTTATTTCAAGGGTTTGCTTTATTGGGTTCAAGAAGACGCATGATGGTAGATGAATGGTTCAGAGAACCGACATATTGTTGAATTAGACACATGTGCAACTCTTGGGTATCTTTATTGAGGAAACGTTTCGCCACACAGTGGCTTCATCAGTCCATACGTAGGAGAAACTTGAAGAACAGGAGGAGAATGAGGTAATCAGTCCCTCAGCCTTGAGTCGATGTGGTCAGTCCATCAAATATGACACCACCTCTGACTGCTGCACCTCTCCTGCCATACGGTTTATAAGCTGCTTCTCCGCTCATATGCCGTATTCTATTCAAGATTGATGGACTGACCACATCGACTCAAGGCTGAGGGACTGATTACCTCATTCTCCTCCTGTTCTTCAAGTTTCTCCTTTGTATGAACTGATGAAACCACTGTGTGGCGAAACGTTTCCTCAATAAAGATACCCAAGAGTTGCACATGTGTCTAATTCAACAACAAGACGCATGATCTCAGAGCATGAATGGCCCATTTGGGTTATGTTGCTTAAATTGGTTGCAAGACAACATCTGAATGTTGGCACCGTATTGGTATCGGATTACATCATGAATGCCGACATCGGCTTCAAATAAGGACTTCAGCCCCCCTTGAATTGATACTTTAATTATTATCGGTGTTGAAGGTTGGCATGACTAACTCATTGGGTTAACAACTGAGAAGTCCGAGGTTAGATTCCCGGACAGTATGCGCAGGCTTCTTTACGCTTGCTAGCTACTCTTGTTAACCAAGCACTAAATACTAACGAAATCGTAGTAACACGATTAGAAACGGGTGGGGTTTGAACCCATGGCTAGTGAGTGAGTTTTAGGATTCACTTCCCATAGGTTCAAATCCCATTTATTCCGTGGTTAGTAAATACTCTTCCGGGTGTAAGTGGGTCGTTGAGATCACATCATGGCAAGTGCTAGTATACCATACAGTTAGAGTGTTAAATGAGCTGTGGCAAAATACGCGGTTCTTAATTCTGTAAACTAAACTTCATTTGCAGCACTGGTGACGGTGCTGGTGGTGGTGTTCCTTGCCTTCGTCCTGGCTTCCTGTCTCGCTCTTAGGTTTTATCAACGCTGGTCAAAAGCCAAGGAGGTAAATACTATTAATCTAAGCTGATAAGGAGAAGGCTGTGATCTTTACCATTTATGCAGAGATGGTTAGGAATTTTTTGACGCCTTTGCGCGCGCGCACACACACACACACACATACACTCACACACACGCCAGAGAAGAGGCGGGGCCAGGAGCTGTGAATCAACTTCTGCAACCACATATACGTGAGTATAGGATTTGCACACATACACAGAAAGAAGGCAGATAGGTAGCGTTAATTAAACTACAGACCAGTGTCACTGACATACCTATGCATGTCAGTGACATGTCATGGAGAAAATTATCAGAACATAATATAGATACAGGCATGTATGTGCAGGACTCCTGACCAGTGTAAGGATATCAGTTATGAGGGTGCCTTCACCAAATTCAACTTCAGTAACAAAAACATACAGTGGGATCAAATCAACCATGTCCTAAATGAAACAAGCTGGGAAGATATCCTAAACAACACAGTTCCGAACCTTTACCTACAAAGAATTAATTCTGTGGCACTTGAGGTATGCTCGAGGCACATTCCTATAAAAAAAAGAAGAGAAGATGTAAATTAGAAAGAGAGAGATGCTCCCTATACTGGCGAAGGCGAAGAATCACAGAGCTACTGAAAGGGACTAATATATCTGAATTACGAAGGAAGGCACTGGTCAGAGAAATAGCAAATATCGAAGTTAAGCTTGAGGAATCGTAGAGGAGATAAAAAAACACACGAAGAACTTAAATCAGTGAAAATAAAAAAAAATACTTCTTTTCTTATGCCAAATCTAGGGCAAAAGCAACATCCAGTATAGACTTAGATGACAGCAAAGAAATGTGTGAGATACTGAAATCCCAATATGATTCGGCATTTAGTGAGCCGTTAATCAGACTAAGGGTCGACAATCTAAATTTTTTTTTTCACGGAGACTCAAAATTAGGTTAATTCAAAAATTTCTGATATTATCCTAACACCACAAGTCTCTGAAAAAGGCAATAAATAACATGACCATGCACTCTGTCCCAGGCCCAGACTCGTGGAACTCCGTGTTCATCAAGAACTGCAAGAAACCCCTTTCACGTGCCTTGAGTATTCTATGGAAAGGGAGCATGGACACAGGTCATCCCACAGTTACTAAAAGCAACAGACATAACCCCACTCCACAAAGGTGGCAGTAAAACAATTGCAAAGAATTACAGACCGGTAGCACTACCGACCCACATCATAAAAATCTTTGGAAGGGTTCTAAGAAGCAAGATCGTCACCCACTTCGACACCCATCAGTTGCACAACCCAATTCAGCATTGGTTTAGAGCAGATCGCTCCTGTCTTTCCCAACTACTAAACCACTACGACATGGTCTTGGATGCTCAGGAGGACAAAATTCAGATGTAGTATACACAGACTTTGCCAAAGCCTTCGACAAGTGCGATCATGGTGTAATAGCACATAAAATACCTGATAAAAGGAATAACAGGAAAAGTGGGTAGATGGATCTAAAGCTTCGTATAAACAGAGCAAAGGCAAAGGCGGCTACAGCGAAAAGCTCCGTTCCACAAGATACAGTACTCGCTCCCATCCTGTACCTTATCCACATATCTGACATAAGAGATGTAAGCCACAGCAACGTGTCCTCCTTTGGGGATGACACCCGAATTTGCATAACAGTATCATCCACTGAAGACTACAATTCTCCACACGGACATCAACCAAATCTTTAAATGGGCCGCAGAAAACAATGTGAAGTTCAATGAAGACAAATTTCAATTACTCTGCTCTGAAAAACTAGGAAATTAAAACTGTATCGGAGTATAAAGCAAATTCCAACCAAAAAATAGAGTGAAAATCAAATGTGAAGGACCTGGGAGTGATAATGTCAGAGAATCTCACTTTCAAAGATCACAGTGTATCTACTACATCTGCTACGAAAATGATAGGACGGATAATGAGAACCTTCAAAACTAGAGATGCCAAGCCCAGATGATTCTCTTCAAATCGCTTATTCTCTCTAGGTGAGAATATTGCTGTACACTAGCGGCCCCTTTCAAGTCAGGCGAAATTGCAGACCTTGAAAATATACAAAGTACTTTCACGGCATGTATAAGTATGATAATGCACATAAATTACTGGGAACGGTTGAAGTTCCTTGCTTTGTATTCCCTGGAACGCAGGCGAGAAAGATACATGATAATATAAACTTGCAAAATCTTAGAGGAACTAGTCCCAAACCTACACACGAAAATCACTCACTACGAAAACATAAGACTCGGCAGAAGATACAACAGGGGCCCAAGACTGTTCAAATGCTTCCCAGCATACATAAGGGGGATTACCAATAGACCCCTGGCTGTATACAAGAAGGAGCTGGACAGGCACCTAAAGTCAGTATCTGACCAGTAGGGCTGTGGTTCGTACGTCGGTTTAAGTGCGACCATCAGTAACAGCTTGGTTGATCAGGCCCTGATCCACCACGAGGCCTGGTCACGGACTGAGCCGTTGGGGCGTTGACCCCCGAAATTCCCTCTAGGTCTACTCCAGTACCGCACAAGACGGGAACAAAAGCTAAAGCAGCAGGCAGGAATAAAAGGGAAAGCACTACAGTGGACCAAGATATACCTGACAGGAAGGAAACAGTGAGTGAATGTCCAGGAAGAGGTGTCGGAAGGGATGCTTATGATGAGTTGGGTTCCACAAAGATCAGTACTAAGACCGGTGCTATTTTTTGTATATGTGAATGACATGATGGAAGGGACAGAGTCAGAGGAATCTCTGATGTGAAAGTAATGAAGAGAATACAACCAGACGTGGACCGGGTAAGGCTACAAATAGACCTGACAGGCTGCAGATCTGGTCTGGCAAATGTCTACTAGAGTTTAACCCCCCACCAAGAGCAAAGTTATGAAGTTTGGGGAAGGGCAAAGAAGACCTCAGATGGACTATAGACTCTGGGGAGGGGCTAAGATTGCAAACCTCACTCAAGGAAGACATTGGGATGAATATCGCCTGAGGCTCACATCATTCAAATAGCTGCTGCAACAAACGCATGTTTGGTAAATCTAAGACTGGCTTAATACTTATTCAAGACACTATATATCGTATAAGTCGGGCCCATATTGGAGTATTCAGCACCAGTATGGAACCCACCTCGTCAAACATGTCAAGAAACTGGAGAAAGCGCAGAAATCTGCAGCGAGACTAATCCTGGAGCAAAGGGGTGTGAGGAGAGGTTAAGGGAAGTCAGCCTGATGACACTGGAGAGCAGAAGAACGAGGAGTAATATTATAACGTACAAAATACTGAGAGGAATTGATAGGGTGATGAAAGACTGTTTGAGAGATGGGAAACAAGGAACACTAGAGCGTAACAGGAAGTTGAAGATTCAGATGAGCCACAGAGACGACAGAAGGTATTTCTTCAGCCTTAGAGCAGTCAGGAAGTGGAACAACCTGGAGAGTTAAGTGGTTAGTTTAATAGTTTAATATCCTTATTATGCACCCCATACCCATCCTGTGGGTGCTAGTCAAAAGATTAAGAGAGGTACATACGCGTGCATGAGCGTATTTGATAGGAGTGAATTGAGACAAATGGTTTTTAATACTTGACGTGCTGTAGGAGTGTGAGCAAAGTAACATTAATGAAGGGATTCAGGGAAACCGGCAGGCCGGACTTGAGTCCTGGAGATGGGAAGTACAGTGTCGGCACTCTGAAGGAGGGGTGTTAATGTTGCAGTTTTATAACTTAGTGTAAAACACTCTTCTGGCAAGACAGTGATGGAGTGAACGATGATGAAAGTTTTTCTTTTTCGGGCCACCCTGCCTTGGTGGGAATCGGCCGATGTGTTAATAAATAAAACATAAGGGGTCCAAGGACTGGGCCCCAAAGTTCTGATAGCTGAACAAGTTAAGTGGTAGAGGCAGGATCCATTCATAGCATTGAGAAGAGGTATGATAGGGCTCTCGGAGCCGAAAGTGGACCTAGTAGTGACCATCGAAGAGGTGGGAACAGGAGCTGAGGTTCGACCCCTACGACAACACATAGGCAAATACAAGGCCCTTTGCCAGACACATTCGTACCTCTTAATCTTTCCCCTCGGTCTACCTGTTTCGAATCTTGAAACATTGCACAGCTCCTGATGAAGCACAAGTGGGAAAGGTCTAGAGTTAGTGTTTCCAATCCCCAATGGCTTGTTTTGATATATATATATATATATATATATATATATATATATATATATATATATATATATTATATATATATATATATATATATATATATATTTTATTTATATATTATATATATATTATATATATAATATATATATATATATATTATATATAAGCAATATTATCCTATCTGTTACTAGTCTTGCAACACTTCACAGCTCCTGACGACGCACAAGAGTGCGAAAGATCTAATGATAGATACATAGATATAGATATATATATATATATATATATATATATATATATATATATATATATATATATATATATATATATATATATATATATATATATATATATGTATGTATGTATATGTATATGTATATATATTGATAGATAATTTTGAAGTGCATAAGGTTATCATTCAGCTAACTTCCCTACGGTCAGTGCCTGCTGGTGCTTCGTCAATCGGGTGGCTCGTCGCAGCCACAAAGGGACATCAGAATGCAGCCACCTTCCATTGTGGCCCCGTCTGTCCCACCCAGGCCCCCGACGCCTCCACGCAATCACAGGATCGTGAAGAAGCTCTCCAGCAGGCCCCCAACGCCTCCACGCAGCCAAAGACCCTTGAAGAGGCTCTCTTTGAAGCCCCCAATGCCTCCACGTAGCAACAGAATCGTGAAGAAGCTCTCAAGCGTACCTCCTGTACCTCCACGTAGTAATAGGGTCCTGAAGCAGCTGTCCTTGAAGCCTCCAAAGCCTTCATCCAGCAGGATACGGAAGAAGCTCTCCCAGGAGCCACAACGATCAATGAATGTGAATGTTTGTTGTAACTCTCCTAATAAACTTAGTAGCTTCCTGGAGCATTAGAGTGACAGTATTATCTCATGTACCTTATACAGGTTAGGTTAGGTAAGATTAATCTGGGAACCAGGACAAGTGTTTCCTGACGCGGGTCTTAGTCATGTGATGACCCCCCACTGGAGCTTTTGGTCGTCTGACCGAGGCCTTCCACTGGCTTACCAGTCCACCCCCTCTAAAAAAATTAAGATTATATATAACTTTATCTATCTTATATACAATGTCTACACTTTGCTTCCTTATTCATCTTATATAACTGAAACCTCCGAAATAAGGAGGGAAACTATATAATAAATATAAATATATATATAATATTATTATATATATAATTAATATATATATATATTATATATATATATATATATATATATATATATATATATATATATTATATATATATATATATTATATATATATAAAATATTATATATATATATATATATATGTATATATATATAAAATTGTATTCAGGTATTTCACTGATTTTTTTTAATGAAATGTTTAAAGTTTATTAAAAATATGTCACTAACGTCTTCTTTAATTTCCACCTAAGGGTTTAGCGCTTCCCAAGAAATAATAATTACAATAATAATAATAATTAATAATAATAATAATAATTAATGATAATTAATAATAATTAAAAATAATATATAACGATAATAAGTTGCGAAGGTTAGTGGACGAGTTTGGGAGTGTGTGTAAAGGTAGAAAGTTGAAAGTGAACATAGATAAGAGTAAGGTGATGAGGGTATCAAATGAGTTAAAGAAAAATTGGATATCACATTGGAGAGGAGGAGTATTTAAGAAGTGAATGTTTTCACATGTTTGGGAGTTGACGTGTCGGCGGATGGATGTATGAAGGATGAGGTTAATCATAGAATTAATGAAGAAAAAAAGGTGAGTGGTGCGTTGAGGTATATGTGGATACAAAAAACGTTATCTATGGAGGCAAAGAAGGGAATGTATGAAAGTATAGTAGTACCAACACTCTTATATGGGTGTGAAGCTTGGGTGGTAAATGTTGCAGCGAGGAGGCGGTTGGAGGCAGTGGAGATGTCCTGTCTAAGGGCAATGTGTGGTGTAAATATTGTGCAGAAAATTCGGAGTGTGGAAATTAGGAGAAGGTGCGAGTTAATAAAAGTATTAGTAAGAGGGCTGAAGTGGGTTTGTTGAGGTGGTTTGTTCATTTAGAGAGAATGGATCAAGGTAGAATGTGATGGAGAGCGTATGAATCTGTAGGGGAAGGAAGGCGGGGTAGGGGTCGTCCTCGAAAAGGATAGAGGGAGGAGGTAAAGGAGGTTTTGTGGGCGAGGGGCTTGGACTTCCAGCAAGCATGTGTGAACATGTTAGATAGGAGTGAATGGAAACGAATGGTTTTTGGGACCTGACGAGCTGTTGGAGTATGAGCAGGGTAATATTTAGTGAAGGGTTTCAGGGAAACCTGTTATTTTTATGTAGCCGGACTTGAGTCCTGGAAATGGGAAGTACAATGCCTGCACTTTGGAATATTGGCAGTTTGGAGGGGTATGTTATGGTATATCTTTTTATATGCTTCTATACTATTATATCTGGGCGCCTCTGCAAAAACAGTGACTATGTATGAGTGAGGTGAAAGCGTTGAATGATGCAAGTATTTTCTTTTGGGGGATTTTCTTTCTTCTTGGGTCACCCTGTCTCGGTGGGAGACGGCCGACTTGTTGAAGAAAAATAATAATAACAATTGGCTTAGCTGTTCATAATACGTTTTAAAAAATAAATTCAGATTTCTTATCGCCTTAACAATCAATCAAAACTAAGCGCCAAACCCGCCTTAATTATGTTGCTCCTATCTTGTGATATATACTACCAGAAGTGTGTTCCTCTCAGTGTATAAAGATCAAAGTATTTTTGTCTGGTGGTGAAAAGGTTACGTGCAGCCTTAATGACCCTAGTGTAGTCGATAGGCTTCAAACCCAATTAACCAAACAACTATCTATGGGGAAGCACTAAACCTGTAGGAACTGTAAAGCAGATGTAAATGAATCTCGTCGTCTAACATTTTAGGGGGGTTATTCTAAGTAAGTTACACATGTTACCCTCTCCAGGTCCCCTCACGCTGGTGAGGGGCTCTTGATATAGGGAATTGGATCTGTGCTCCATTTCCCTGAATTAAGCCTGAATACCTTCCATCTTGCCCCCCTTCCACGTATGCTGTATAACCCTAAGGGTTTAGCGTTCCCCATAATTATAATAATGATAATAATAATAATAATAATAATAATAATAATAATACCCTCTCCAGGTATGTATGATAATTTGTGTAACTGTATTTATGTGTACCTGTACTTAAATAAACTTAATTAACAGGCGCTAATCAAGTTTGACTCGAAGAAGGTAAAAAAAAAAATTAGTTCCAATTTCTCTGATCAAGAGCCCTTTATCAGTAAGAAGGTTCCGCCTTGTAGGGAACCCTGATAAGGAGAGCCCCACGAGGACACACAACGCTGGAGGTACATAAAGATGGGGGGTAGACAAGTTACTGCCACGTCCTGTTACCTCTGTATTTCCTGTCTTATCTTACATGTGTTGTTGTCTACTAAGATATTAACTGTAGTCTTGAGGCGCCATCACATCTCCACCAGACTTCTGCATCCCTATTATCTGTAAATAAACACACATCCATTATATATATTTTATATATATATATATATATATATATATATATATATATATATATATATATATATATATATATATATATATATATATATATATATATATATATATATATATATATATATATATATATAATATTATATATATATATATATATATATATATATATATATATATATATATATATATATACACATTATTATTATTATTATTATTATTATCGAAGAAAAGCATAAACTCTCCCTGCGCCTCTGCCATTTCTCGAAATATTTCTGGAATAAAGAATAAAGATTTTATTTCTTTGCAAAATTTACAATGTGTAATTACAATTTTGGCTTTTTAAGTACAAAGAAAGCCACTATCATGCTGGGGCATTTCGGGCAGACTAACGGTGTCTAACGTGGCCAGTAATTCTGCTTAAACCTCCTTGTTGAGTGCCATTTTGATTTTTGAGAAGAGAAAGAAATCACAGGGGACTTTTCCTGAGTAGTAGGGAGGGTGAGGGATGACTGTCACGTTATTTTCCAATGTATGCATCTGTTTTTGACGTTAATGGACAACCAGAACATTCGTCATTTTCATTAATGAAGGGAAGATTGCAAGAAGCCTAATCATTGTTTGATTAGAAAATGTAGAGAGAACCTTCACGGCACACATAACTGCGATAGAGCACCTCAGTTACTGAGAATGCTTGAAGTTCCTAAACCTGTACTCCCTAGAATGCAGACGGGAGAGACACATGATCATATACACTTGGCAAATCCTAGAGAGATTCGTATGAAACTTCCACACGAAAATCACTCCCTACGAAAGCAAAAGACTCAGCAGACGATGCAACGTGCCCCCAGTGAAAAGCAGGGGTGCCACTAGAACGATAAGAGGCAACACAATAAGTGTGAGGGGCCCAAGATTGTTTAACTGCCTCCCAACATATATAAGGGGGATTACCAATAGACCCCTGGCTGTCTTCAAGCAGGCACTGGACAGGCAACTAAAGCCAGTACCTGACCAGCTGGGCTGTGAGTCGTATGTTGAACTGCGTCTGTTGGACTGCATGCGGCTAGCAGTAACAGCCTGGTTGATAAGGCCCTGGTCCACCATGAGGCCTGGTCACAGACCAGGCTGAGGGGGCGTTGACCCCTGGCACTCTCTCCAGGTAGGATTGGATTGGATTTTCTTCGGATTTTTAACCCCGGAGGGTTAGCCATCCAGGATAACCCAAGAAAGTCAGTTCGTCATCGAGGACTGTCTAACTTACTTCCATTGGGGTCCTCAATCTTGTCCCGCAGGATGCGACACAGTCGACTAATATCCAGGTATCTATTTGCTGCTAGGTGAAGAGGACAACGGGTGTAAGGAAATGCGCCGAAATGTTTCCACCCGCCGGGAATCGAACCCGGGCCCTCCGTGTGTGAAGCAAGAGCTTTAGAAACCGGCCACCCACTCAAGGTATAATGAATGTTCCTTCATAATGGTGAAGGGCTCTTTATACAAACAGTTCGACCTGATGTTCCTTTCCTTTTAATTATTACAATAAAAACTAAGTGCTAAACCCACAAAGGTAAAACGGCACAGCCCTTCTTTTAATCAATACTAGCTGCTGCCCATTTCCCCATACTCTGTATGCAGGGACAATGTCAGAATTTCTATACTGGGGGTGTTTTCGGGGTATCTATCTGGCATTATTTATTATAAACATGGGGAGCCCTAAACCCGTAGAATTATACAGCACATGTGCAGGGGGGGGGGTGGAGGGTATTCGGGCTCAATTCAGGGAACTGGAGCACATCAAATTCCCTAGATCAAGATTATTATTATAATCAAAAAGAAGTGCTAAGCCAGGGTAGAGAAGGAAGCGAGGGTATCGGGCGGCAGAAGGGGGGAGGGATGATGAATAGGTTACAGAAAACAGAGGGGCAGGGGATAGTGCGGGGGTAGAGGGTAGCAAGAGATTAAGGTAGAAAGGGCTGAAGGTATCATCATCAGAGTTTGTGGAGTAAGTCAGTTGTTGTCAAAAAGTCAATGAGAGTCCAGATGAAAGGTGGGTCCATCAGCGAGAAGGGAAGGTAGAGAGAACAGTGGAGCGAAGACGACATTGGAGGTAAATTCTGCGTGCTCGTTGATAAAGTGGGCAGTCTAACAACGTGGCTGACCGATACTGGAACCTGACAATTCTCACAGAGAGGAGCAGGGCGCCTCTCCATGAGATATAAGAACATAAGAACGAAGGAACACTGCAGAAGGCCTACTGGCCCATGCGAGGCAGGTCCAAGTCTCCTACCGGCTTAAGCCAATGCACCCAACCTAGTCAGGTCTGGTCACATTGACTTAAGGGAGGAACACGGCAACCGACCTGTTAGCACAAGCTATCAGGTCTAACTCACACCCACCCACATCTACTCATGTATTTATCCAACCTATTTTTAAAGCTACACAACGTTCTGGCCTCTATAACGGTACTTGGGAGTTTGTTCCACTCATCCACAACTCTATTACCAAACCAGTACTTTCCTATATCCTTCCTGAATCTGAATTTTTCCAATAAACCATGCTGCGTCTTCTGTAAATTCAGCCATATTTCATCCCTTTAGTTATTTGTCTCCATTCACCTCAATACATATCCCCCTATTTACGTCTTTCTAGGATGCATTTCAGGCCCTTTATCTATCCTCATAGAGTTCGATAATGGTCATCTTTGTCCCCTTTGTACATTTTCCAGAGATTTATATCCATTCTGTTACGTGACCAACTGTGCACATAATCTAATGAGGCTAACAAGGATGTATAGAGTTGAGACAACTGGGATCTATTTTTATCTCCTTTGTATGAAGCCAAGATTTATTACTTTTATGCGAACCCCAAGGAAGTCCTTGTGTGTGAGGGGCTTGATCTAGAATGGGATCGTCTACCAGTTCCGAATTAAAGTCTGAATGCTTACCACATCCCCCCAGGCTGATATCTCCGGTTTTAGCGCTTCCCTTGATTATAACAATAATAATTTATTGCGAACACTTATGCACTGTTGTCTTGGTTTCAGATTACTGCTAACCAGAACTCCTAAATCTTTTTCGCAATCCGTAATATTAAGATCTACATTATTTAGTTTATATGTGGCATGGTTATTGTCCTGTCCAACATTTAGAACTTTGCATTTGTCTATATTAAACTGCATCTGCCACTTCTCCGACCACTGCATCAGTCTATTCAAATCTTCCTGGAGTGCTCGAATGTCCTCGTCAGAATGAATTCGACGGCCTATTTTGGTGTCATCGGCAAACTTGCCGATGTCGCTCTTTATGCCCTCATCTATGTCGTTTATGTAGATTGTGAACAGCAGGGGGCCCAACACTGACCCCTGTGGAACACCGCTCGTGACGCTTCCCCACTCTGATTTCTCCCCATTTATGCAAACTCTCTGCTGCCTATTTGTCAACCATGCCTCTATCCAGGAAAAAATTTCTCCTCCTATTCCATGTGCTTTAATTTTCCTCAATAGTCTCTGATGTGGGACCCTGTCAAAAGCCTTACTGAAGTCCATATACACAATATCATATTCATTACCATGATCTACCTCCTCAAATACCTTAGTGAAAAAAGTTAATAAATTCGTAAGGCAGGAACGCCCCTTTGTAAAACCATGCTGAGATTCGTTGATTAATTTATGCTTTTCAAGATGGCTACGAACTGCCTCAGCAATTATTGATTCCATACATTTTCCCACTATGGAGGTTAGGCTTATTGGTCTATAGTTCGAAGCTAAGGACCTGTCACCTGTTTTGAAAATAGGTATCACATTTGCCATTTTCCACTTCTCTGGCACCATGCCAGTTTGTAGTGATATGTTGAAAAGATTAGCCAAAGGTGTGCTAAGCTCCCCTTTACATTCCTTTAGAACCCTTGCATACAGTTCATCAGGGCCTGGGGATTTGTTAGGTTTTAATTTATCTATTTGCCTAAGGACCATGTCACTTGTGACCCTAATAGTGCACAGTTTATTATCGTCCTGTTCTACATAATTTATCATTACTGGAATATCGCTGGTATCCTCCTGTGTAAAAACTGAGAGGAAGTATGTGTTAAAAATTCTACACATTTCCTTATCACTGTCAGTGAGCTGACCCGAGGAACTTTCGAGTGGGCCTATCTTGTCCCTGATCTTACTTCTGTATACCTGAAAGAATCCTTTTGGGTTAGTCTTCGATTCTTTTGCAACTTTAACCTCATAATCTCTTTTTGCTTTTCTAATTCCCTTTTTATTTCTCTCTTTAACTGAATATATCGATTTCTTAATTGCCCCTCTCCTCTTTTGATTTGCTATATATGCCTCTCTTTTGACCAATCAGATATTTTAATCTATTGTTCATCCATTTAGGATCATTTTTGTTTGATCTGATTTCCCTATTTGGAACATAATTTGACTGAGCAGCTAGAACTATGCCCTGGAAAGCATCATATCGGCAACCATCACCACCTACCTGACCCTTAGTCAGGTCATTCCAGTTCAGCCCACCTAAGTAATTTTTCAGTCCTATGAAATCAGCCAAGCGAAAGTCAGGGACGGAGACTTGATTGCCATTATTAGGGGAATTCCATGATATATTAAAACTGAGTGATTTGTGATCACTCTCCCCAAGCTCATCATTAACCTCAAGATTATTAATTAGTGTTTCCCTAGTGTTTCATATCCATGAGTAAGAAGAGTATGGCCAATGCAAAGGCGAGATCAAGAGCCCCTTACCAGCATCAAGGAACCTCCCTGGAGGGGTGGCTGTCTGGTAGAATTTCTATTTTGGGAGTGTTCTGGGATGGCTGTCTGGTAGAATTTCTATACTGGAGTGTTTTTGGGTGGCTAACTAGTAGAATTTCTATATTTGGGGGTGTTTTTGGGTGCCTTAGGTAGAATTTCTATACTGGGGGTGTTTTGGGGTGGCCATCTGACTCACCATACCACGGGTGGGGTTTGAACCCGCGGTCAGACTTCTATGGGTTTGGCACTCACCTCCATAAATGTGATAATAATGTTGTCTGGTTTAAAAGGAAAAGGATCATACACATTGTATGATGTATTCTATATTAAATGATTAAATCATGAACTATTAAAATATAAAATCAGATGTTCAGTTAAAATGGATATAAAAGCCCTTAAAGCCAACTCAATCTTTATTTATATCTGCACAACCACTAAAATCACGTCTCTCCAAAGCTTTACTTATATGTACTGTACTGCACATGTTACCACTGGCAAAGGGTATCATTTATTTATTAATTATTTACTTATAAGCTTAAAATAAAAGTTGGAAAAAATACAACTTTATGGAAGACACTTTCTTAACAGAAACCAATAAGGGATAAATGTGGCAGTGCCCAAAAACTCAATTATATTTCTGACACAATATTGCCTTCTCATGTCAAGATTTTTAAAATACAGCATTTTGTAAATAAGGATCTAAAGTCACTAAATAATTAAAAAGCATTGAAAATTATAATGTATATTAACTTCTAAACTCCCCGAGATAACAGCATAATTGTTACACTTCTATAGGAAGTTAATAATTTGCGTAAGTTTAGTGAAGAGATATACAGTACAAGCAATGAATAGAAAACCAGGGTTTTTGTTTCATGTTCATATATTAACCTTTTTTTTTTTTTGACCACATTTCCCAGCAAGATACGGTTACTCAATAAAGGAAACATCCACCATCATTTACTCAATAGATGTCTTGCTTGAAGTGAACAGACACCACAACTCAAATGACTCTCCACTCTTTAACATCCCCATACTTCTTCAGAGCGCCAGCATTCTCGTGTACTTACCACGTCCAGAATTAAAATTATTTCTAATTATGATAAATTTAGGGTAAGTACAAATAAAATAATGATGAAATTAACATTTTTTCCTTTTCATGACTGATACAATCACACCTTAATGAAATACACCAATCAGATATAAATGTTCTTTATGAAAAATGCTAAACTTGTATGGGTTACTCAGCACTGCATGGCAAAGGAGTCCTGACACTGGGGGTAAAAGTGCAGATGATGAGCTCGTGTGCAAAACAGTAAATGTGTTTAATATATTTCCCATTACACAAACAAATTAAGTCTTCCCCTCCCCCAAAAAAAACTATGCAAGGTAGGGCACATTTGAATTTATGTAGCATACCAAAATAAAGATAATTTACTGATAGATTACTATGAAAAATATTTCCATATATACGTACAGCACTGTACTTGATATAAAAATAAAATTACATTATATACACCATTTCACATTCATAAAACTAATGTACAACAGACAAGCAGTAGCAGATTAAGAGGTTTGAAGCCCTAAGCAAAACAACGTTTAGCTGTTGTACTAGCAGAAATTATATATTAACATTTGAGCCAGATATACTGTATGACTGAGTGCATGACTGTTGCTGGCCTGCTGAAAGCTTGGTGTTGTATAAATTGATTTTTCAAAAATAAATACTGAACAAAATATAAGAACTTAGAAATTTACATTATTATTTCAGAACTGAAATAGTTTATATAATAGCAAAAAAATATTTATGATTGCATGGGTACCCCATATGACCACAAACTGTCAAATTTTACAGATATGGGAGCGGCTCATGCAAGGGTTAGGAAACAAATAGTTAACAATATGGGAGGCCTCTTGATAGTCGTGGCCCTTATCTGCTTATTGGTAAATTCACCACTGCAGAACAGACAAGTGCCTCCTCCCCCAAAAAAAAAGGTGACCCATTGCATGAATCCTCAATTAGAAATTAGCTTAAGCCTTTATTCAGTCACAGAATGCTATATCCAGGACTTGGCTTTCTTTGTTTTTAGATGATTATAGGAATGTGGATATGCAAACATATTTAATCTTTAATCTACTAAATTTAAATCTACAGGTGATGTTAATGTATTAGAAAAAGCCAGGGAAGATGAACATATGAAGGGTATGGCCTTTTCTAATATACATTTCAATTCAATTTTGATATATTTTAGTATCTAAACTTAAGAGTAAAATGGAAAGCTGTCTCCCTTTCCCATTCCTTACACATTCTTTGGAATAAAAAGTACTATCCTGTCTTTCCAGTTACCACTAAACTCATGTCATTCAAAAGATATCTTCACAATTATATACTCCAATAACAATTGCTCTTTAATAAAAAAAAATACATAAAATAACATTATAGAATGACAATTAAATTGCTTATGTCATGAGTTAACTGATTTTAAATTTACTATCCATTACTAACTTAGAAAGTCAACATTAATTAAAATGACAAATCTAAAGTGACTGTAATTTGTCAACACATGGAATGAAAATTTTGGAATTAAAAAATAAAATCTGCAGAAAGCTATGGAACAATGTTATTCAATCTCAGAAAATAGCATATTCTATTTGCTACTTTTCTGAAAATTTGATGGACAAGAGAATTGTTTTTGTAATTTTGTAACCATGATTCACATATAACCCACACTTTGAAGAGGAAACTTTAGATGATGTTTCAATTAGTCCTGGACCATTAACAACTAACAACTGACTCATGAAATCATAATAACAACTGTTGACTTAATAATGATCCAAGATGGACCAAAGTGTTTGCTAAGGTTTCCTCTCCAAAGCGTGGCTTATTTGTGAATCATGGCTACAGAATTTAAAAAAAAAAAAAATTTTGCATCAAAATTTCAAAACATGACAAATATACCAATTTATTTGACTGAACAACATTATTTCATTTGTGAATGGTTCCAGCCATATCGAGAATCATACTGTACATCCTGTAGCCATGAATTATACTTTGTTTTCTGACACAGGTGCTGTCTGTATAACATTAAAGTGTATTACAATAAAGAATGTTAATCTTATCAAGATATCATACATTGTATCATTAAACCACTTCCACTGAACTGAGATTCAATTTAATTCTCTTTCAACAGTTTTGCTCTAACTGGTCTAAAAAAACCATATTATTACTAGTCTTTGCACCTACCATAATTGTTAGGAAAAATTAAAACCCAATAAAATTTTCTTATACAATATTCTATATAAATTAGTAATACATTACTTTATGATGCCTTTATTATTATTCTTGAAAATATCCCATTCATACTAAGCAATTTTTCTACACTATATAATTAATTTTGCATATAGGAAAACTTCCTAAATTTTTGTTAACTTATTGTTTATCCAATACCTGTAGAGTTCATTTCACCCATTTGAAAATTTACACAGAAACATGAATTTTCTACTCTTGCAAACACACACACATCACAACATACTTTAGCCAACATTACTCTATAAAATAGATATTATTGGACAATATTCCTTGACAATCACATATTCAGACAACAGTCAATGGCAGTCACCTTCAAAGTAAGCTATAGTACATATAAGCCACACACTACTGTCAAAGGCCTTCATTTTGAAAGAATGGCTAGCTCTAGCTATAATTTTTTAAAGGTAGAGGCTCATATACTTGTTTGTAGAAAATACAGTACATTATGCTCATATAAAGCTGTTTTGTAGCTGAAGACAATGGCTATTTCCATGAATACAATATCAAATCCTTTTATAATTCTTTGATTATACCTGTGTTTTGATGGGTATGTGTAGTTACCAGTGTATCATGGTCATCTTCATATATTTAAAAATATATCATAGTGACAGCTTATACTGTATATGTATGTAGTGTGTGTATGTTTTATAAATATACAGTGGAACCTTGGTACTTGAACAGCTCCCTACTTGAGCAATTCAATATTCAAATGCTTTGGTAAAAAAAAATGCTTGGTAGTTGACCTTTTGCTTGGCACTCGATGAAACAAATATGACCTGCCAAAACTTTGCTGTAAACTATTCCATGTTTCTTCTCATTTTTTTATAAATAAGTCATCATGGGGTCTAAAGAAGATTAGTGATAGCCAACAAAATAGAAAATTGGTTGGGAAAAATTTGTTCAGTACTCAAACAGATCAGCCCTCGAACAGGCTTCTGGAACGAATTAAGTTCGAGTACTGAGGTTCCTATGTACATATATAAATGTATACACACACACACACATATTATATATATTGCCAGAAGCAAGGGGCTAGTAACCCATTCTCCTGTATAAATTACTAAATGTAAAAAGAATAACTTCAAGAAAACATTTCTTCTTTTTCAGGTCACCCTGCCTGGATAGGAGATGGCCAGATATAACACACACCACACACACACACACACACGCACACAAGCACACACACACACAGCCAAAAGCTATGACTCGACCTCTGCAACCACATACATGTACGTATAGGTGAGCGAGTACTCTCTCCGTCACTCATTTACTCATGCACACTCACCTTAATATATAGTATATATACAGTACAGTACAGTACTTTTCTTCAAACAAATATAAACTGCATTTATACAGTTGTTAGAAGTTATTAAAGGAAATTAAATATCCCTGGCTATGTAACTATAACAGGAAAGGGCTTACTGAAAAATTTGTGGGACCTTACTAATAAAGTATTTCTCTAAACTAAAAGGCTTTTCTGCTTAAATACTTGGGAAAGGACTCAAACAATACACCAACATTTATCTCCTCTTATATTTAAACAGGAATGAAACTGCATCACACCACTGAAACATACAACAAGAGACTGGCTTATTGTATGTAATGTTTTAACTATCCAAAACACAACAATTAGCTTCCCAGCAAGGGAAGGTGATTTGGAACAAAGGCAATACTTCAGGTCTTCCAAACCTATCTCTTATTCTACTCCACTAAATATTATGACTACAGTTTCCTTTATACCAGTCCATGTTAAACCAAACAAAAAACTAGTTACTCGCAAGATTCACACCAGTAACACTTCCTTAATTACCTACTGATAACAACGATCTAAGTACATACATTGCATTCACTACATCTGCATAACTGCTAGTAACAGTAACAACTTATTAGAATTACATGTTTGACCAAATTTATGAATCGCATTTTAATATTTATGAATATATAGTAAAATTATTTTAGATAATATAACTTGCTACAAAATGCATTAGACAAATTCTACATTCAAAAACAAAATAAAATTTCTTAGAATAATTACCTTTATTTCTTCAAGTACATGAAACTAATGACATAAGACCTAGTTGACATCACTGGCATACTACAAAAAAAAAAAAAACCCTGGTTATGCAGAACATTTCAGGCAATTTAAGTTAATCTTATCTCTCAAGATGCAACCCACAACAGTCGACTAATACCCAGGTACCTACTTGCTGCTGGGTGAACAGGGGCAGAAGGCATAAGGAAATTTGCCCAACATTTCACCCTTGCCAGGGATCAATCCCGGACCCTCAGTGTGCCAGCTGAGGATGCTCCTAACCAAACCACTATGCACAATGCAGTCTATGTTACCTCAGTACCTTGTACATAAGGAAAGAATACTAAATAAATGAGTTAAAAAATATTCATTATTAAGCAAAGGGTAAATACTGTATATTGAATTGAAACAAGGGATCTGTTCATCACAAATCACAACTGATGTGTAAATAGCTTGTTTGTGATTACATGTATAGCTAATTTGTAGTTATTACATTATTACTGTTCAGTATATTCATGGGAAGTGGAAAATCCAAAGAGCAGAGCCAAGCTTATAGTGTCCCACCTCCTATCATAAGATATTTTAAGGTTTCCAGTGGTTGTGGCATTTATTGCCCTTCTGTAAACCATTGTTATTTTATAACTCTCTCTGCAAAGAAAGCTTTCTAGTTTAATTTTGCCAGTTCTTAGTTAATTTGTATGCATATGTATGGACTTGTCTGTGTTTGCAGGTATGGTTTGATATTACTAAGTACTAAACCACATGGGTCATTCATCACTATACTGCAAGGAAAAAGCTGATGGCAGAGGTAGAGATGTAAAGGTGTTTAGGTGATCAAAAATCAATAGTTAGTGCATTTTATTATCATCAAAAATAAGCACTAAACCTACAAGCGTCATACAGCAATAGTTAATGCAGTAAAGTTCTTAAAAGATTTTTGAGAGAATCTATATTAAAGGTAGACTATCAGAGGGAAGGCAAAACAGACTAACAATGTCAGGACATTGAATGAGAGCCAAAAAATGAAATCAGTCCTCTCCATTGAATGGGGCTATTCAGACTAAGAATTAACTTACAGTTCTTATATGTTGGCAAGGGGCAACCCCATAATATGACCATGTATGTCTGTGACTAATGCAGTTACAAGAGTATATTGCAAATATATCCCCACAACTGAAAACAATGGAGGGAGGGAAGAGAGTCCAATTATGGTTTAATTAAAAACATGATTCTGATTAATGAAGCCAAAGTTTCCAACAATCTTGCAAGTTGTCAAGTTACCACTAGAAAATAGTATGTGTAGTATATAAGAGATTTACAGGTCCTCAGTTAAGAAAAGCAAAGAAAAATCTGCAAGTTTCTTACCCCAAACTCCAGTATGATCCAGCAAAAAACAAACCTTTTGCCTGTTGAATTATTTTTCAGGATGTGCTAAACCCATGTGGGTCATTCAGAACAAGGGTGTGGAAAATGTCTTAAGTCTACTGATCGTCGCTTGGACTTTGTCCACTCACAGGTTAAAGATGCAGCACAGCATGCATTAAATGCTGATGTAAGGAATTAAAGGTTTGAATTGCTTACAGTGCACTACAAATCTGATACTACAACAAAGAGGCAGATATAGCAGCAGTGTACATAATAGAAATACTGTGAAAATGTTAGGCACCTACAGCAACTGGTCCTGGATTATACAATCAGGAAAAAATGCCAAGCATGCCACTCCAGCACAGTATTTTGAGCCATTACTGAACACAACAGAGAATATCTAAATACTAGTGATCAAAGAAGAGCAAGAAAGTTCAAAGCAGAGAACCGAGAAATCAAGAGTGGATGAGGATGTGGGTAGACTTGGACCAGAGAGACTTCCTAAGATAGTAGGCAACAAGCAACACACACAAACACATGAGAGAGAGAGCTGACAAAGAAACTCTTACAAGGGGTCTGGAGATGTTGACTGAAGAAGTGTAATAAAGCACCACAATGGTAACAGCTTTAGTAATATTTATAAAATTTATAGTATTCATGAGGAAGTGCTAAACCAATAAGGGTATTATTATTATAATCAAAAAGAAGCACTAAACCTACAAGGGTCATACAGTGCAGAGGGGATGGGGTATAGGGTAGCAAGGAGACCAATAAGGATAAATAATCAAGTGTGGGGGCTCAGTGTTGGTGCCATATACATCTGAATAGGTGTAATACAAGTTGTGTACCATAATTTTCTAAATTATTCTGTTAAGGCTCTTAAAAAGCAGTTTTCAAATTAATATGTTTGAAAGATCTATTCACAAACAGCCAGTCTTTGCAGGCCAAAGAACTACATGGGAGAGTAGTAGTAATGTGAAGGGTATATTCATGTAGCAAAAGTTTAAATAACAGATTGTATGACAACTCGGTTATTACTTTCACGTGTCTACACTGAAGATGGGGTTTTTCTAAAGAGCAGGCAAAGTGAGGGCACCAGTGTGCTATTTGATAAACTGTGTACAATCAATTAAAAGGTGTTAAACTAACAATACCTGACAGGTTTCAGATACGCTGGGTCACTCCACAAGTTGACCATGCAAAACTGTAGTGTAGCTAATAGACAGTCACTAGAATATGGTTTCTCTCACCCAGCAGTGATGAAATGTTGGCCTGAAACTTTTTTGTTATTTCTTCAACAACAGATTGTTAAAAAGGTACTTAATGCAGTGTACTGTATTCTTTAATGGTACATTAAACTCGTAAGTGAAATGTACCATCAGACTTAACTGCATTGCCTTTTTAATCACTTGTCAGGGCCTTTACTGATTTAACAACAGCTCATTGGTCCCTAACTCAGGTGAAAGGCATTGTCAACAATTCCAAATCAACAGAAGAGTGCAAGAATGAAAATGCAAAGGCCAATGCTCTTGTGTTTTCTGAAGAGACTACACAACTAGTGTGAAATAGGAAAAATGATGAGATGCAGCATCAAAAGCTCTGAAGAGCTGGTAATGCACTAAGTCAAAGACTACAACAGAGGAGGAGGAAGCAGAGATGGAAGCAATGTAGATGATAGATGCAAAAGGTGCATATAAATCTACATTGAAAATAAATTAAGAAAAAGAGCTGTGCATCTCACTGTCAAGAAAATTTGGAGACATTAGAATACACATCAATAGTATATATGAAATTCAAAATGCTCAAGGAAGAGCACATGTTGGTATCACCACTTAGCAAGGAGAGATGGGAAAGAAATGAACAGGGTGACAATATAGGGAAAAGAAAAAAAAAAAGTCTGAAGGTGGAGATTAAAAGTACAGTATAATGATCAAGACATCAGCTTTACTAACATCTGCAATTTTGCTATAGGTCTCATGCTCATGCAGACCATGAAAGCAAATAAGATAACAGACAGTATATATCTCGGTGATCTCACAATGAAGGGTTAATAAGATGCATCTAGACTTTTGACTGGGTACAAATAAAAGCATATTGGTATGTAGATGCTTTGACAAATGCTAAAACCATTCCTTGAAGAATACACACACAAAGGCAGCCAAAATGTTTCGGTAGATTCGACGCATCTAATTAGTGAACTGATACCCATAAATTATCTTTGCTGAAACCACTTTTCTTGGTGCTGCAAAATTTCAGATACATATATTTTAATGAATCCTACAAGTTGCTTGATTTACGGAGTATGGCAGGGTATCGAACTTTGCTTTTATTTGGTATCAACTATAAATATATATTTTTTATTGGTAATATTAAGCCTATGCATTTTTCTAAGAACCCTGACTGACTGGTAGGCTGACATTCTTTTATTTCCCATCTTTATTAATTCACTGCTTTTATGAGACTTCCCAAAATGGGTATGTCAGTGAAATGGCACAGATCCAGCCATGTGTAGTTAGCAACAAGCCAATGCTCATGCAATCCAGTCCCCCATCCAAAAAGGACTTGCACCAAATGTAGAGTATACTGAGGCAACAATAAACACATCATCCACAGATACTTCAATAATTGTCAAAGTTATTCGTAATATTAAAAGTAAGTCTTTGAAAACCATTTCTGAATAAGGTCAACTGCAACTAAATCATTTAAGTATACTTTAGTGTTAAAAAAAGAACATATTCATGCTCAAGAAAAAAAAAAGAAAAAACTGGACACATTGGTATAAATATCTTCTTGTTATATTAAATTTGATGCATATAACTCCTACTCAGACCAGGAAAATTAAGTCATTTCAACAATACAGAAATGGTTATTACTAATAGAATAACTTGTCTCAATAATTTATTAATTAATGCTTCTGGTACCTGATACCTTTACCATCTATATCTTTATAAAAGTAAAAGATAACCTACAAATATCATGTATTCTTCATATCCAATACCTTGAAAGTTATAATTGCATTACTAGAGAAACCAAATATTTTTATATACAGCAATACATGAAAACCAGTTTATCATGATAAAACTGTTAAAAATATACAGCTTCACATTTTTATCTAATTTCAAGTGATACTGTAGCCTTGATATGAAATATTCAGTTCCTTAATCAGCATAAACTAACAAAACAAGTGTAATCTACATAATGCAAGTTTGATATAAATGATGTGGACAAAACACATGGCTGCAAATAAAAAGAAAAGTGCCATTGAGTGGATATAATGTGAACCTCCTATCAAAATTATATGAGAAAACTGCCTCCTATTTTAAGTACCGTGTAAAACAACACAACTAAACATGCCATATAATTAGCAATTAAATCTCATCTACGAGCAGAGGAGCCTTGAGTGGCTGTTTTGGATGCTGTTTCACATCACTTAGAAATTATTTTTAATTTTACAAATCTGAAAGTAACAATAATTAAAAGTACTTAAACATTACAAAAATATAATTTATTTCTGGCAAACAAAGGTGGTAATTCACAAGCTGCACTTGAAAATAATAAATCTTTCAACAATGCTAATTTTATTTCTGAAGATAATGTTGCCCAATACAAACGCAAGACCACGATATAAATGAATACGATAAGGCTCTCTTAAACCTACTGATAATATATGAAATTTTTTTAAATAATACTTCTAAATTGCCTTTTGGTATACACATGGAAGAAATCACAATTATTTGCATATATGCTTACGTGTTTATGTAAAATGAAATTATTACAATAGCTTTTTCAAGCCAATGAAATATGAACACACTTTCAGTTAAATATACCAGCACACTGCTCATTAAATGTATAAAATAAAAACCCTTTTGAATTTTTTATATTGTGTTCTAAACAGATCAATATAACAAACTAGAATCCTATGTACATGGCAAGTAACTGAACCACTAACACATTTATTTTCAGAAACTAAGAATACTATCTACAGACAATTTTTTTCATGCAATGTTTCTCTGTGGTTATTGCATCAGAACTTGTCCATGCTTGTTGAAAGCTTAAAAGGTGACCCAGCCACTTCCAGATCCTCCACTTGGTGGGTTACTGAAGAGGAAAACAAAAGTTTAAATGTAGTACTTGCATATCAATTTAGCTAGTTCCTGAAAATTGAATAGATCACAACTCAGCAGGGATAGTTACAAACTTAAGCAGTAAACTGGTACACTATTACATAATCTAACCTTGGGGGTGGAGGTCTGATGGCAGCACTGGCAAAATCACCCCAAGATTCACCAGTATTACTTGCTGCTCCTGGAAGAGATGCAGGACTGCTTGGCGCATCTGATAAATCTCCCAATATATCTAAATTACTAGTTGCACTTGGTGGAGAGGTACCTGCAGCACCTGGAGGTGGCGCTAACTTCACTCCACCTGGAGGTGGTGGTAAGAGTCCTAAACCAGCAGAGCCTCCTTTGGGTTTTGGGCGGTTGATACCTTCTTGGCCTTCCTTTTTCTGTTGAAATTTTCAGGATAAGTAACACTCTACTAAAAGAGTTATTGTGGTTTTAATTATGCCACACAATGCAGGTTATTTGCTAAACAAGACATTTTTATTATTTTATTTTTACCTCAAATTTCATCTCACATCAAGACAGGGTGACTCCCCCAAAAAAGGGAAATGTTTCACCATCATTCATTCAATCACTGTCTTGTCAAAAGTGTGCTGTCATTTCAATCAGTTTACCTCCCCAACTGCAACTGATGTTGCAGTTGGGGAGGTAAACTGCACTGTCCCTTCCCTACTCTAGGATAAGGCAAATTTATGGTGAAATGTTATACAACAAAGACTCCTCTGCTTCATTTGTCATACTGTCGACACTACCATTTTTCTGATATACTTAACTACCTGGAAAAGAAGTGACCATCAATACCATGCAGGCCTCTTTCTGGAAGCAACATCCATATGGCTGTCATGGCCATGTCTTCCATCAGAGACTTCACCAGAAAGAAAGATCTCTATGACACACCCAACAGTGACAGGATTATACACCATACCATGCAAAGGATTAACAAGTTCTTTGTAGAAATGGAGAGGAATTTTTTTCGTATGTGATGAAAAACTCTAATGTCTGTAATCAAGGAACACAAGTAATGACTGTGTCATACCCAGGTCTCAAGAGGGCCATCTCATGCACTGCAACAACACACAAATGATCCATAGAATTTTTTTAGGGGTAGGCTCCAATGAATTGAAGCAGCCTTACTATTTCCAACACCATAGAACAAAGGGCTGGCAAATACACGACAACTTTCGTACATATGATACTGCTCAAAGCTGCTTCTCAGCTGCCACATTTTGCAGCAATTATATGACCCAAAGCCTTTACTTGACCTTCACCTATGACTTTCATTCTCCATATACACATATTCTGTGCTTTCTTCTCCTTATGTATCAGCTGGAGTAACCAAGGTCCCAGGACCGAAAAATTCAATAGACATGATAAGTGTACGTATTAGTGTTCTCTCATCCATATTTTTGGAATTCTTCTTCTTTCAACAAACCAGCCATATCCCACCAAGGCAGGGCTGACTAAAAAGAAAAACAAGTTTCTCTTCATAAGTTCAGTAATGTACACAGGAGAAGGGGTTACTATGCCCTTGCTCCCGGCATTTTAATCGCCTCTTATGACACGTATGGTAAAAATTAATATTCATTCAGTGATATACAGCTGGAATGGGATACAAGGCAGTGTGCCAAATTACTAAAAGTTGTACACAAATAACAAATCTATTATCATAACTACCTTACAAGAGAGAATCTAATGAACACAGGCACACACATAGGTAAAATTATATATAATTGCACTTACTGTTATTTTCATATTGATTTTAATTGTCTGACCATCCTTGAAACCTAGATCAAGGCTGGGCTTCCCTTCTTCTTTTTCTTTCTCAGCTTCTTCTTCTTTCTTGACCCATTTGAAGTGATCTTGAAGGGCTACATTTAAATCAAAGCTGTCGGACCTATCTCCAAAGCCTATCCCAATAAATGCCGCTCTTCCTGATGAAACATCAATAAAATTTCAAGTAAAACCATTCAATCATATCACAGAAGAAACAAGCTATGCAGATTTTTAAGTCATCTGATAATCCATCTTTATGTAATCAGCAAAATGTGTTGAGTTATTCAGAGTACCATGCAACAAGCTTGTTTATACTATTGAATTTCTTGTTTGCATTTATTTGGCATTAAATCAAAATAGTTATTATATGTAACTAATGCTTATTTAACATCACTTAATCTTTAGCTGTTGAGCAAAAATTAGTATACACCTGACTAGATGCATGCATCAAAGGTATACAATTTACTCTAAGATATACTAAAATGCAGGTTCATAACATTACCTCCTTCATCCTGTATTCTAAGAACAAAATAACGTGAAGAATCTGTAACAGATTCGATGGCCACTCCTGGGTATTTATCAATGGGACACTTGGCAAACAGTTCTCCTGTTGTCTTGTCTTCTAGTTTTACAATACATTCATTCTTTCTGTTCACGAGTCGCATTCGTCCTGTCCAGTCTGGATCACCTAGATTCCAGTCTGCTGCTCTGAAGAAAAAAATTAATGTGGGTCATGCAGGTAAGTAGTATGAAGGAAAAAAAGTTCATTTTCCATGTTCATGAGACAATTTTTGCCTAACAAATATACCAATAACAACATAGTAGTACTGTACTAACTCCAGACTAAAGAATGAGTTGGTTTGTAAATACATATAGTACACAGCACTGTACTCTACTCCTTACCTTTGCCCTGAGAGTATACAACTCTGCCTTCAGTCATTCATAAAGTAAAGAAAATGTAGCACAAACTTTTATGAGTGCAAAGATAGAGACTAAACCTGAACTATCTGTAAAATTGCAAAATAGTGTCTATATAAGAATTAGGAATAGCAAATTGAAATTACACACAATAGAGACTTGTGGATTTAAATGTATAATTTACAAAGTACTAGAACCATTTGGTTTTTAGAGAATTTTACCTTTAAAGTTACTATTTAACAATTAGTTGTTGGCAATAGATACCATTTTACTGCTATCATTACAGATTTAACTGCAATAGAATCAAAACAATTACAAGTACATTAGCTGTACCAAAACAATATTCATAATTTGTTAAACATCACTAGCTACTAATGGCAGAAATTCTGACAAGAGAAAATCTCCCTACAATACAGGCACAACATTTCCTTGCCGAGTTTATGTCAGACAATGAGGTTGTTCAAACTTGCCACCATATAGGCTGACCCAGCATCAAAGAGCTATTGTGCCTGTAACAGTATGAAGAGGGAGGACTTATCTGTGATTCAACCACCAGCCCATTCTTCATGAAAGTAATCATGCTAATCAATGAAACACATGAATAAAAATTTGTAAGTTAGAGCTTTTACAGACTGTATTGTTACATCAAAATGGGTATTTTACTTGATGGCATTTTTTTCATAAATATACCATATAGATGCATAGACACATGATACAAATACTGTACATGTCCTTTACAAATGCAAAAAATTAACTTTTGGGTCAAAGTATTTTAAATACAATAATCCCTTCAGAACATGGACTTCTAATCACATTACAAATGCAGTGAGTGATGTCACTTACACCCTCTTGTAGCCAACAGCAGACTGGCTATTATGGATATACTATACACAATACTCTTGGGCATACACGAGATTATGAGAAATGTTCCGTAGCAACAAGCGAGACACAGACACAGACACAGACAGACACACACAGACACAGAGACAGACACAGAGACAGACACAGAGACAGACAGACAGACAGACAGACACACACACACACAGACACACACACAGACACACACACACACACACACACACACACCAACACACACACACACACACACACACACACACACACACACACACAGAACCATCCATGGCAATGAGAGACGATGCACCATGGGTTGATGAAAGCATTAATTCCACTTGCTTGTACAGCATGTGCAACACTTGGGAATCTCTACTGCCCAAATATTTTGCCTGAACAGCAAGATTTTTTCAAGTGAATACAAAAGCAACTTATATACCACAGAGAGTGGAAGAAGTGGAGAGGCAATTCTAAGGTGTTCAATCCCTTAGCCTTGATGAAGGTGTTCAGCTCCTTGAATTCATTATTTTAAATGATTGTCTGAAAGACTCCCCATTGAATGGCCAAACAGAGATGCCTTTTATACATCTGCAGGAAGAGGGATGATATTTGTATGAAGCACTCATGGTACCCTATTTACATCTGCCTCATGATCATTTTGAATTTAATTATTCAATAAAAACTTTAAGGTCAACTCTATTTGGCTAGGTTGGGTCATGGTATAGAAAACACTATTTTAGCCTTAATGAATTGTGTTAAAAGAGATATCCTTCTTAAACCTCTCCTTCACCCCTCTTAAGCTTCACTTTCACCTTCTCAAACTTCTTCACCTTTTGTGGAATTTTGAAATTACCTCCAACAGGGGGAAGCAAGGGGATCATAACCCCTTCCTTTGAGTATGATATATGATCCCCCTCCATCTCGAGCGCTATGGGAAAGAGGGAGAGAGGGACCACAACCCCCTTGCTCCCACATTAAAGGTAATTTCTCCATACCTTCTTAAACCTCTCCTCCACCCTCTTAAACTTTCTCTACACTTTTATATTCCTTCTACTCTCTTTTAAACCCTTCCTACACCTAAGACATGGTTACTCAGCAAAGCACAGCACGAGTTTTCATTGTGGGTTTTCCTGCAGGATATGAACAAACAGAGCTGACTAGATCCTAGGCATCTGTTGACTGCTAGAACACATCACAGTGAGAGTTTATTCAGATTACCCCCAGAATACGACCCATAAAGGTTAAGTCACAGGTGTCATGGGCTGGCGAGAGATATGGCTTAACTATGTGTCTCACCTCACCCGATATTGTGCCTGGGTCTTATCACTTGAGGGAAATGTGTTACCACCGAGCTATGAGGTCATGATCTATATACAAGTTCTTATGCAGATTCAATATACGTGTGTTTTTTCTTCATTTATTTCGCACAGTAATTTGTGTAAATTAACCTAGGTTATCCTAAATTGGTAAACTGTGACTTATTTCCGTTGGTGCCATCACTCACCAGTATATCACCAGTCTAAACGTTATTACACACAACTCAGCTGTAGAAAGTCTCCACTACAAGCACATACACCAGAAACAAATGTACACGAGTGTGTGAGTGAGGGCCAAGGGTTGACCCTTGCTACAACGCCCCCATGAAGGGCCAGGCCCTCCCTGGACACCAGTTGGCCACATACAACGCTACTCGCCACGCCTCCACCAACCTATCTGGGTCAAAACAGGCCTAGTTATGTTACCTGTAGCCTCTGTTAGTGGACCTCGGTGGAATTTTGTACACGAAAACCTCTGATTTTACAAGCAGTACGCTCTCGTAGTCATCCATTGCTGACACTTCACACAAGACAGACTATTATATCCGGGTTATAAACAACTTAATTTTTACTAATTTCAGTATCATACTTTGCAGCATTAATGGTGATTTTAAATACATCAAATATTTATATAAATATCTAAGTTTATTTACTAGATATTTAGTAAACGAAGGCTATTAAGAATAGTATATTGAGGAGCAGAAAGTTTACAATGCCCTCTGGAACTAATGGAGTAAACACGATGAACCACAAAACCGGCAAATTCAATTAACCTGAAAAGCAATAATATTAAGATTTTAGGCAAAATGACTTTTATTTATCTATAAAACCACTGTAGATATTATAAGTCCAAAAACAGACTCACTGCTAATTATGGAGACCTGGTCTTTGTGGGTATTTGGAGTTAATTTATTGCTACAAATGTTCAGCTGTATAGTCCTTGTGGCTTAGCGCTTCTTTTTGATTATAATAATAATAATACAAATGTTCAGCTGTATGGCCCTTGTGGTTTAGCGCTTCTTTTTTTATTGTAATAATAATATAAATGTTCAATATTAGGTTATTTTATCATAGACATTTTTTTATGTTATGTATATGTGAGAAATATATAACCTAATGAAACCCAACTGAAAATAACCTAATGCGATTTAACCTTCCTCCGCCAACAGGTGATATGGTACTAGGACACCTTTGTTTACACTTACGTTCGCTGTAAATGTTGTTGAAACTGCAAGGAAACTTCACAAATCCTGAAGAAAAAGAAGAAAGGGAAAGAAAAAGAACAGAAGAAAAAAAGAAGCGTTAATATTAACCCCTGATTAGCCCTGACTTGCTGCATGTCCCAAAGTAAATATTTTTGGCTAATATCACCCAGAAAAACAATTTGTCCAGATATATAGTAGTCTGTGCCAGGGGACAGATAGCTTGCTTGTATTTGAAATAAGAAAATAATGCGTGATAACAGAATAGTTCCTTTGGTAGTGCCTATGGTTCACAACCAATGAACCCGAGTTCGATCCTTGAATGGGAGGAGATGATTTCTAAGAGAGATATAATTTTGTTGGGATTTTTAACCCCGGAGGGTTAGCCATCTAGGATAACCGTCTCATTTCCATTGGGGTCCTCAATCTTGTCCCCCAGGATGCGACCCACACCAGTCGGCTAACACCCAGGTACCTACTTGCTTGCTAGGTGAACGGGGTAACAGGTGTAAGGAAACACGCCCAATTTTTTCACCCTTGCCGGGGATCGAACCACGGATACAGCGTGAGAAGCGAGTGTTGCCTACCAGGCCACGGGCCACCCTATCTTAGAGCTAGGCTTTCAATAATAAGATGTTACAAGGTCCTCAATGGAAATAAGTCACTTTCGGGTTATCCTAGGTAATTTACACATGTTACTAGGTGTGTTAATTGTACTTATGTGTACCTATACCTAAATAAACTTACTCCTTACTCATGTTACCACTTTTTCACCTAGCAGTAAGTAGGCACCTGGATGTTGACTGACTATTGTGAGTGGCATCCTGGCAAAGCAGATGAAATAACCTTAATGAAAATAAGCTATATTGGCTAACATTCTTTTGTTATCAGAATTAATAATCAGAATAAACTCTTCTTCTGTCTTCAAGAGTAGACAGAGAAACGTAACTCTGATGTAGCGATACTCAGGTATCTATTTAATACTAAGTGAACAGAGGCAGCAAAACCCAACGTCTCTACTCACCCCGAGATCGAACCCGGGTGCTTCGGTTTTTTAGAGTTTATTGAACACTCACAGCTAATCTGCGAGAAACTTGGGACAACTTGTGGTGTTTGGGTCACCCATCAAAGGTTGCTAAGCAATCAATGCCAGTCGCCCTCAAAACCACCACTTCACACCACATTAACTTACGTATAAAACCTTCATTTTCCCCCTCCTAAACGTATATTTAACACAAATATGGAAGAAAAAAATCGCTATAGAGATTAGCAAAAATTTTCCAGAGTGTGAGCACTAAGAACTAATTATAGCCGACATGTAGCACCGATTGTGTTCCGTCTTTATGGTTCACTGTGGCACTACAATCAGTCGGTGCACAGTGTGCGCAACATTTCCACTCTCACACACCGTATATATATGTCTCTGCTTTTTCTAAACTGTGTTGCCGCTGAGGTTTCCGTGAAGTGTAGGAACAGACTCACAAGGGACGAGGCACTTTTTTCTGGTGACCCTCGAAGGAGTAGTTGACCGGCCAGACGACGCCCTTCAGGACTTTAGGGGGTAGAGAGAGAGTGTAAGGCTAGGAACAAGGGAGTGAGACTTGGAGCCAGAGTGTGAGTCTGAGAACGTGGGGTGTGAGGCTACAACGCAGGGTGTAAGACTAGGGAATAGCTGGTGGAGTGACGGTGATGGGGGTGAGTCCGAAGAAAATGAACCAGGGTGTCTGGGTGAAAATTTGGAGCGTGTTGGGCCGCGCCATCAATTTCGTCGTCGGCTGCTTAATGCTCTTCATTGCCTACCTTCAGGTTAGTAGGAGCAAGAGAACTGTTGCTAAGCAAAAGGACACAAGTTCAACTAATGCAACATTTAACTGTGGCAACGTTTCGCTCTCCAGGGGCTTTGTCAAGCTGTGACGGCTCGATAAAGCTCCTGGAGAGCGAAACGTTGCCACAAAATGCTGTATTAGTTGCACTTGTGTCCTTTTACCTAACATATTACGTATTGGTAATTCTGCCAACATTAATACAAGAAAGCAGGGGCGCCACGAGTACGCTAAGGTACAACACAATAAGTGTCAGGGGCCCAAGACTGTTCAACTGCCTCCCAGCATACATAAGGGAAATTACCAATAGACCCCTGGCTGTCTTCAAGAAGGCGCCGGACAAGCATCTAAAATCAGTACCTAACCAGCCGGGTTGTGGTTCGCACGTCAGTTTTCGTGCGGCCAGCAGTAACAGCCTGGTTGATCAGGCCCTGATCCACCACGAGGCCTGGTCACAGACCGAGCCGCGTTGGGCGTTGACCCCTGAAACCCTCTCCAGGTATACCTCCGGGACAGTGTCAGAGATCAAGAGACTGTTGTTATCCCAAGACCAGCTAGGGCAATAGCAGTTGTTATTATACTAAGAGAAATATACAACGTACATAACACATTTACGAAGCATCAAATTTTGCCTTAAAACTGTACCTGGAGAGGGATGTTGCTGATGCAACTAATTCCTTTAAGGGGGGGGAGGGGTCTTGATGCTGATGGAGGGCCCTTGATTCAAGGAATTTGAGCCACCCACTTCTTCCATGGACTGAGCCTAATTCTTTCCCATTTCCCAGGCGTTGTTTGACCTCCACGGGTTTAGCGCTTCCCAGTAATAATAATAATAATAAATAATAACAGTTCTTGTATTTGTTATATTTGTCGCTCTAAGAATGTTATGACAGAAGTGAAGAACAACCTCAAGTTAGAGTGTTAGTCATGAATGATGTATCATAGACGTGTAGAACCAAGATAACTTAAGAGAGCTACTGTAGAATGATGTATCATTACCTGGAGTTTACCTGGAGAGAGTTCCGGGGGTCAACGCCCCCGCGGCCCTGTCTGTGACCAGGCCTCCTGGTGGATCAGAGCCTGATCAACCAGGCTGTTGCTGCTGGCTGCACGCAAACCAACGTACGAGCCACAGCCCGGCTGGTCAGGAACCGACTTTAGGTGCTTGTCCAGTGCCAGCTTGAAGACTGCCAGGGGTCTGTTGGTAATCCCCCTTATGTGTGCTGGGAGGCAGTTGAACAGTCTCGGGCCCCTGACACTTATTGTATGGTCTCTTAACGTGCTAATGACACCCCTGCTTTTCATTGGGGGGATGTTGCATCGTCTGCCAAGTCTTTTGCTTTCGTAGTGAGTGATTTCCGTGTGCAAGTTCGGTACTAGTCCCTCTAGGATTTTCCAGGTGTATATAATCATGTATCTCTCCCTCCTGCGTTCCAGGGAATACAGGTTTAGGAACCTCAAGCGCTCCCAGTAATTAAGGTGTTTTATCTCCGTTATGTGCGCCGTGAAGGTTCTCTGTACATTTTCTAGGTCAGCAATTTCACCTGCCTTGAAAGGTGCTGTTAGTGTGCAGCAATATTCCAGCCTAGATAGAACAAGTAACCTGAAGAGTGTCATCATGGGATTGGCCTCCCTAGTTTTGAAGGTTCTCATTATCCATCCTGTCATTTTTCTAGCAGATGCGATTGATACAATGTTATGGTCCTTGAAGGTGAGATCCTCCGACATGATCACTCCCAGGTCTTTGACGTTGGTGTTTCGCTCTATTTTGTGGCCAGAATTTGTTTTGTACTCTGATGAAGATTTAATTTCCTCGTGTTTACCATATCTGAGTAATTGAAATTTCTCATCGTTGAACTTCATATTGTTTTCTGCAGCCCACTGAAAGATTTGGTTGATGTCCGCCTGGAGCCTTGCAGTGTCTGCAATGGAAGACACTGTCATGCAGATTCGGGTGTCATCTGCAAAGGAAGACACGGTGCTGTGGCTGACATCCTTGTCTATGTCGGATATGGGATGAGGAACAAGATGGGAGCGAGTACTGTGCCTTGTGGAACAGCTTTTCACCGTAGCTGCCTCGGACTTTACTCTGTTGACGACTACTCTCTGTGTTCTGTTAGTGAGGAAATTATAGATCCATCGACCGACTTTTCCTGTTATTCCTTTAGCACGCATTTTGTGCGCTATTACGCCATGGTCACACTTGTCGAAGGCTTTTGCAAAGTCTGTATATATTACATCTGCATTCTTTTTGTCTTCTAGTGCATTTAGGACCTTGTCGTAGTGATCCAATAGTTGAGACAGACAGGAGCGACCTGTTCTAAACCCATGTTGCCCTGGGTTGTGTAACTGATGGGTTTCTAGATGGGTGGTGATCTTGCTTCTTAGGACCCTTTCAAAGATTTTTATGATATGGGATGTTAGTGCTATCGTCTGTAGTTCTTTGCTGTTGCTTTACTGCCCCCTTTGTGGAGTCTGTTGTTTTTAGTAACTGTGGGACGACCCCCGTGTCCATACTTCCTCTCCATAGGATGGAAAAGGCTCGTGCTAGGGGCTTCTTGCAGTTCTTGATGAACACGGAGTTCCATGAGTCTGGTCCTGGGGCAGAGTGCATGGGCATGTCATTTATGCCTGTTCGAAGTCATTTGGCGTCAGGATAACATCGGATAGGCTTGTGTTAACCAAATTTTGTGGCTCTCTCATAAAAAAATTCATTTTGATCTTCGACTCTCAGTCTGGTTAGCGGCTTGCTAAAAACTGAGTCATATTGGGACTTGAGTAGCTCACTCATTTCCTTGCTGTCATCTGTTTAGGACCCATCTTGTTTAAGTAGGGGCCCAATACTGGACGTTGTTCTCGACTTTGATTTGGCATAGGAGAAGAAATACTTTGGGTTTCTTTCGATTTCATTTATGGCTTTTAGTTCTTCCCGCGATTCCTGACTCCTATAAGATTCCTTTAGCTTAAGTTCGATGCTTGCTATTTCTCTGACCAGTGTCTCCCTACGCATTTCAGATATATTGACCTCTTTTAGCCGCTCTGTTATTCTTTTCCGTCGCCTGTAAAGGGAGCGCCTGTCTCTTTCTATTTTACATCTACTCCTCCTTTTTCTTAGAGGAATAAACCTTGTGCATACATCGAGTGCTACCAAGTTATAGTTATATATAGTTATATATAGTTATAGTTATAGAAACAAGATAACTTAAGAGAGCTACTGTAGAATGATGTATCATAGTTATAGAACCAAGATAACTTAAGAGAGCTACTGTAGAATGATGTATCATAGTTATAGAACCAAGATAACTTAAGAGAGCTACTGTAGAATGATGTATCATAGTTATAAAACCAAGATAACTTAAGAGAGCTACTGTAGAATGATGTATCAAGGTTATAGAACCAAGAAAACTTAGAGAGCTACTGTAGAATGACGTATCATAGTTATAGAACCAAGATAACTTAGAGAGCTACTGTAGAATGATGTATCATAATTATAGAACCAATATAACTTAGAGAACTACTCTAGAATGATGCATCATGGAGCTGTAGAACCAAGATAACTTAGTAACTTATAATTATTTCACATTTCAGGCAGTGAAAAGTGATAATTACAACTGGCTGGTAAGTATCATGACCACAACTACCACTACAACTACTACCAACCGGATGGTTAGTATACCGACAAATACTACTACTACTACTACTACTACTACTACTACTACTACTACTACTACTACTACTACTACTACTACTACTACTACTACTACCACTACTATTACTACTACAGCATCTAGATGTATTTCGGTTGTTGCATGACCCGAGAGTAGTGACCCCGTATTGCATAATCCTAGTCTCCTGTACTTCACTGAAAGCGAAAGACATAGTGCAGAGTGCGGCATATGTTTTATAATGCAGTTAAATATTAGCACTGAAGAATTTAAGTGAAACGAATGAGGCATTTGCAAGTTATCAATGAGAACTAATATCCCAATTTCATTCATAAAAAAAATGACAAATTAGAACACGCAGAGATCAAAAGAGAGATTCAAACTTTCCACCAAGAAAGACCAGCTTTACAAGTTTAAGCGTTAAATCCGCATGAGTCATACCGTGAACTCTTGTCACGCTAGCAGCAAAAAAAAAAATCGTTTAATTCTCTGTTTCTCATTTCTCTCTGACCATTTATTGAACACCTTTCTCATTCTCTGGAAATATAATCTGAAGTTATTCTGTCCACAAGTTTACCCAGCTTTAATTGGATTCCGAATGCACTCGAAGGTAATGAGTTCCAAAATGTAATTGGTTTCCAAAGGTAACATATTTTTGTAAATGTAATGAATTTACACATGTAGTAAGTTTCCTAATCCCCTGGGTTTCCAGAGCATCACCAAGAAGATAAAAAAAAAATAAACTCTGGAACTTAACATCAGCAAACAATTATTAATTTGAGAGAGAGAGAGAGAGAGAGAGAGAGAGAGAGAAGAGAGAGAGAAGAGAGAGAGAGAGAGAGAGACAGAGAGAGAGATGGCTAGCTACAAAATATAGAACATGAAAAAAGGTAAATCAGTTTTGAATGGTTTTTTTTTTTGGGGGGGGGGGGGGGGGGTTTCTGGGTACCCAGTGATTAATACGTCTGATTAATCCCGTATATAACGTGGACTTAGTTATACAAGGTGTTTCAAAAATATGGACCTAATTTTAAAGCATTACTGCTTTGAAATTGGGTCCATCCTTTGTAAACACCTTGTATATTACCCACTGGTGGTAGAAACAAGTGGAAGAAGAAGTAGTGTTGTAAAAATATCGTATTTACAAGCTAAGAATAGTAATCCCGCTTCATCTCTATTTCTAGTCCAGCCATGTTTACCGCCAACCCAGGATGCAACCCAATAACAGTCAAGTAGAACTCAAGTACCTGATAAGTAAAACACGTGCAATAGTTGGGTATCTTTATTCCGAAACGTTTCGCCTACACAGTAGGCTTCTGTCGAATACAGAAGAGGCAGCGGAAGAAGAAGAAATGTATAGACGATGCAATCAGTTCATCACCCTTAAAGACGTAGTTTTGACCACCTCAAAACTACGTCATCAAGTATTGTATACCAGTATCATATTCACTCAAGTACCTATTTACTGCTAGGTACACCATAGACGTAGGTGCAAAATAACTTGCTCATATATTTCGACTCGTTCTAAATTGAGGATGTCGAGTGTATTAGTGTTTATGAATTGTGATAGAAGTGTGATAATTGATGTTACTGAAATACTTTCCAGCTGGTATTCCTGATCCCAGCTGTACTGACGCTCATCCTGACACTATGGCAGAGGGCAGTAGGTGAGTTGTGATGGTGTGTTGTGACAGTGTGTTGTGATGGTGTGTTGTGACAGTGTGTTGTGATGGTGTGTTGTGATGGTGTGTTGTGACAGTGTGTTGTGATGGTGTATTGTGACAGTGTGTTGTGATGGTGTGTTGTGATGGTGTGTTGTGACAGTGTGTTGTGATGGTGAGGTGTGATGGTGTGTTGTGACAGTGTGTTGTGATGGTGTGTTGTGACAGTGTGTTGTGATGGTGTGTTGTGACAGTGTGTTGTGATGGTGTGTTGTGATGGTGTGTTGTGACAGTGTGTTGTGATGGTGTGTTGTGATGGTGTGTTGTGACAGTGTGTTGTGATGGTGTGTTGTGATGGTGTGTTGTGACAGTGTGTTGTGATGGTGTGTTGTGACAGTGTGTTTTGATGGTGTGTTGTGACAGTGTGTTGTGATGGTGGAAGTGTTGTGACAGTGTGTTGTTGTGATGGTGTGTGTTGTGATGGTGTGTTGTGACAGTGTGTTGTGATGGTGTGTTGTGACAGTGTGTTGTGACAGTGTGTTGTGACAGTGTGTTGTGATGGTGTGTGTTGTGATGGTGTGTTGTGATAGTGTCACTGTCACTTTATGTTTGCAGCCTTAGCCTGTGCTGTGGTCGGTCTGTTTTTTCTTTTTTTTCTGGTGACAGATTTGAGCTTACAGTTATTCCTAAGTATTTTTCTGTCTCCGTAGCTTTATTTTTTCCTTAGATGGTATTCTTTTCTCAGTATATTTGGCATCGTCCACAAACAAGGGTACATGAGAGTTTGTTCGTATTGCTAAGTCATTAATATGCAGTAGGATGAGTGCTGGTCCAAGCACCAGTCCTTGCTGGACTCCATTAATTATCTCCTATCCTGATGCACTATCCAATGCAGTCACTTTCTGTTTCCCATTCTAATAAACTCACCTGTTACATTGGCTTACCTGTCAAGGTTTGTAAGCACTGACGTATGTGACCACCACATCAAAATCTTTTCTTACATTCTAAGAATATGCAGTTCTTATCTCTTACCTTCCTACCTAAGCTATTCTAGATTTCTTTGGAAGATGTGTTAGACACGATTGTCTATGTCTTAATGCATTCTAGTGTGCTGTGAGAAATATTGTCTAGATCTTATATAGATATATACTATATAATCTGTAATTTAAATATTAAACTCAGTATGGACACTGGTCTGTAGTTTAGGGTTTCCTTCCTGTTTCAGTTTTTAATATTGGTAACATCTGTTATCTCTACTTGTGGAAAATTGCATTTACTTGGATGTATAATTATATACATAACAGTAAATGGACAATGATAACTGTTATTTAACAGTTAGACAAGTAGGAATTTGGGACACTTAGGTCGCAAAAAATGTCCCCCTTCGATACCTACCACTGTCATATCCACAAGTTGCTCTGGACCTATTAATTAAATGAAATATACATACACCAGGAATACTGGTAAATATATAAATTTGTGGACTGTATATTAAAAATAATAAATGGTTATATATATACACAATTACATAAAAGAAGGAAAATATATCTCATTATCACTCACCAATTTGACTGGAGATTAATGTACATCATACTCAGAAAACCTCACTCTAACTAAATCTATGAAAATAATACTGGCCAGAATTACACACAAATCTAGAGAGCTATTCTGAGGTTCCTGGAGCTGTCTTGTCCAGTCGCCTGATATCTCAAGTTATGCAGGAATGCATATCCACCAATTTCGCCTCCTATTTGAGAGGTGTCAGCACAATTTTAACCTCTAGAGCACGAAAAATTCTTCCCCATTCACCAACGTTTGTACAAAATTCAAAACCAAGATGGCGAGTCTCGTCTGCCCAGACGCAGGCTTTCCGTTTTCTATGACATAAATGTTATTAAATACAGTATGGCCATCTATTTACATATAAATACTGAATTTCTGGAAAATATATACAGTATTTTCCACACTACTTTCTCTGTTACTTTTCCCAACATTAATGATTTGTGTGAGTGATATGCAGAGTATTTCTAATCTTTCTATAAATATTCGTAGTGATATTCCATTAGGTCCTGGTACCTCTGATATATCAGGCTCCATCAGGTGTTCCTCACTTTTTCTCACTTAAAGTTGACCAATAGCCTGACTGATCAAAGACCGGGATGCGAGTACGGAGGCTCGAGCCTCCAGCAAGCATGCATTACAGCGTGCGTGTGTTACAGAGTGGGTGGAGATGCGTGCGGTGACTTCAGTAGCTGTGGGATGCCTCTTAAGCTTTCTGGTATTCATGGCCACCCGCCTCATCCACACCATGACTAAGGACGCCTCCGTCATGCTTGTTGACAACACCAGCGGAACCGGTTCTCCAAGACCCAACCCTCTGAACTACCCCGAGGCTTGGTGAGTACTTGGACTTAAATATTTAGTGGCTTGGTGAGTACTTGGACTTAAGTATCTAGTGGTTTGGTGAGTACTTGGACTTAAGTACTAGTGGCTTGGTGAGTACTTGGACTTTAGTATCTAGTGGCTTGGTGAGTACTTGGACTTTAGTATCTAGTGGCTTGGTGAGTACTTAGACTTAAGTGTCTAGTGGCTTGGTGAGTACTTGGACTTTAGTATCTAGTGGCTTGGTGAGTACTTAGACTTAAGTATCTAGTGGCTTGGTGAGTACTTGGACTTTAGTATCTAGTGGCTTGGTGAGTACTTGGACTTTAGTATCTAGTGGCTTGGTGAGTACTTGGACTTAAGTATCTAGTGGCTTGGTGAGTACCTGAAAATATAGTATCAAAGATTGTGCGTGCGTGTACAAAGATATAAAATCATTGAGCATATGGATAATCTATGAAAAACCAACGTTAAATAATATGAAAATAATATAAATATTTTTCGTCTGTCTAGAGACCCACTTCAGACGATGAAAATGGCTTCTATCGAAACCAATAATTTTTGTATGTCGGTTATTCGCATATAAATACATGAGCAAAGAGGAGGGCTGCAGCATGTACTTCAACACAGGAGCAGCAATGACCCCTTCTCCATCTACTTCAGGAGATTTTTCCAGTCACAGGACTAACGCTCCCTTCCTGTTGCCTCCTTGTAGGGAATGCCTGTCTGTGATCATGGTAGTGGGTTGGCTCAAGTTTTTGACGCTCTCATCCAAGGAAAACCTCAGGTCAGTAGCCCAAGCCTAACTTGCTCAAGTTTGATATCTTATTTCCATGATTTTTGTTCATTTTTTTTTTGTCTGTGAAGGTTACCCGTGGTCTCTGATGTTTACCTATTTGTTCGTGTAACTTACCTGTTTACGTCGTTGATTTTTCTCGTTGTGAATAATTGTTTTGGAAATTGTTTTGCAGTGTTTGTCTTTTTTCTTTCGGCTCCTCTAGTTATTCCTACCACCATCACCACTGATTGTTCCCATCACCACTGATTGTTCCCACCGACACTGATTGTTCCCACCGCCACTGATTGTTCCCACCAACACTGATTGTTCCCACCAACACTGATTGTTCCCATCACCAATGATTGTTCCCACCAACACTGATTGTTCCCATCACCACTGATTGTTCCCACCAACACTGATTGTTCCCACCAACACTGATTGTTCCCGCTAACACTGATTGTTCCCATCACCACTGATTGTTCCCACCAACACTGATTGTTCCCATCACCACTGATTGGTCCCAACAACACTGATTGTTCCCACCAACACTGATTGTTCCCGCTAACACTGATTGTTCCCATCACCATGATTGTTCCCACCAACACTGATTGTTCCCACCACCACTGATTGTTCCCACCGTCACTGATTGTTCTCACCAACACTAATTGTTCCCACCAACACTGATGTTCCCACCGTCACTGATTGTTCCCACCAACACTGATTGTTCCCACCAACACTGATTGTTCCCACCAACACTGATTGTTCCCACCAACACTAATTGTTCCCACCGTCACTGATTGTTCCCACCAACACTGATTGTTCCCACCAACACTAATTGTTCCCACCAACACCGATCGTTCCTTTCACCTCATAAACCTTTTTTTTATCGTGTCCAGGCTTACTAAACGAGGTGATATTCATTATACTTTTAATTAAATTTGAAAAAAGTGTTTAACCTGTAAAGGTCACACTGTTTAACCCATGAGGGTCACAGTTTAACCCATGAGGGTCACAGTTTAACCCATGAGGGTCACAGTTTAACCTATGAGGGTCACAGTTTAACCCATGAGGGCCACAGTTTAATCCATGAGGGTTACAGTTAAACCCATGAGGGTCACAGTTTAACCCATGAGGGTCACAGTTTAACCCATGAGGGTTACAGTTTAACCCATGAGGGCCACAGTTTAACCCACGAGGGTCACAGTTTAACCCATGAGGATCACAGTTTAACCCATGAGGGCCACAGTTTAACCCATGAGGGTCACACAGTTTAACTCATGAGGGTCACACAGTTTAATCCATAAAATTCACACAATTCTGATTAGTCTTACACAAATCACTCTCACCAAAAATTGACCAAAGAATTTCGATATCCTCCCCCCACTCCCCCAAAAAATCAAAATTATATTTTAATTACTTGTCTGGTGATGAAAAGCTTACGAGCGGCCATAATGATCCCTGTGTAGTCGATAGGCTTTAAATCCCATTAACCGTTAACCAGGTCTGACAAGGGTATATACACTGAGGTGTGTATCTCTGTATATATGCTGGGAATTTGCATTAACCCCTGTTTCAGGGCCTGATCTTTGCCTGGTGGTGGGTAGGACACAGGCAGCCTTGATGACACTCGTATAGTCCAGAGTACTTAACAGTACTCTAACACTAATCAGTTCTGACCAGGAATATTTAGCAGTCCTGATCCAGTAGTTGACAGCTCATTGACACATGGGAAAATTTATCTCACCAGAATCATTCATGTTACAAAAATTCACTCGTTACGAATGTCAGTCGTGTTATAAATAAATATCATCCTTCTTGCTTGTGTGTGTGTGTATAATGGAGGGCTGAGGGTGACGGGTATATTCAGGTTTGATCTGTATACAGGACAGAGCTCTATTTCCTCACATCAAAACCCCTTCACCAGCTACAAGGAGAAAGAATCAATGATAGCCATACCTTGTACTGTATCGAGTCCTATCCACATACACACAGCCTGTCTCTCTCTGTCTCTGTCTCTGTCTCTGTCTCTGTCTCTGTCTCTGTCTCTGTCTCTCTCTCTCTCTCTCTCTCTCTCTCTCTCTCTCTCTCTCTCTCTCTCTCTCTCTCTCTCTCTCTCTCTCTCTCTCTCTCTCTCTCTCTCTCTGTCCCTTTCTCACTATGAAACAGGGCCACAATTATTGACGCATTTTTTTACTTTATCTAATATTGTTTTGCATAGCCATGTAACGTATTGATTTCCTCTAATGTAACGTTTGCATTATGACGTGTTATTGTGCTGTGAGTGTGTTACATGTATTGTGACGTGTTGTTACTGTGTTGTCACTTATTGTTATTGTGTTGTGACGTGCTATTGTGTTGTGACCCGTGGCAATTGCACTGTGATGTGACGTTACGGTGTTGTAATGTGTTGTTACTGTGTTGTGAAGTGTTATTCTTGCGTTATGACATGTTATTATGTTATGTCGTGGTGTTATAGTGTTGCTACGGTATTGTAACATGTTGTTACTGTGTAGTGACGTGTTATCCTGGTCTTCAGGGAGTTAGGAGTGCCGCAGAAACCTGTCTCAGCCGTCACAATGCTACGGACACTGGGTGCTGTGGTAGGCTTCCTCATCCTAGGACTGCTCACTTGTTACATGGGCGGCGTCATCACCCTGCCATTCAGAGTAACACCTGATCCACCCTACTCCGGGCCCATCGCACGCTTTCTTCCGTGATACGATGCCGCCCACCCATGTACCCACGATGCCGAACACCCATGTACCCAAGATGCCGAACACCCATGTACCCACGATGCCGAACACCCACTCTTCTACGATGCTGCCCACTCACCCACGATGCTGCCCACTCACCCACGATGCTGCCCACTCATCCACGATGCCGCCACTTACCATACTGCCCACCTACAACGCTGCACTTACATTTTATCTCAGTGGACTGAACAGAGGAGGCACTACGTGATATTACGACTGCTACTTTTATTATAATTATTATTATTATTGTTATTATTATTATTATTATTATTATTATTATTATTATTATTATTATTATTATTATTATTATTATTATTATTATTATTATATTCATAAGGAAAATTTACGCCATTAGGGGTCATAGAGAACCTTGGAAATGGGAAGTAATCATGACTGATCCAATGAACAGGAAGACAGTAGCTCTAATTCTTTGGATCAAGAGCTATTTCACCTCCTTGAAAAGTCTACGTGCTATTAACATTCAAAACAATACACATCTGACGTGGTTCATATATGAGGTTGAACTTGTGGTGGACCAGTCTTATTAAACCTGACGGTTCAGTGTTCTAACCATAGCACCGCTGGTTAGTGTGTTAGTTGGTTAGTTACCATTTTGTCCTAGGGACATGTCGATTAGACACTAGGCCTGTTGTATGCGAGTGTGCGTGTGTGTGTGTGTGTACTCATCTATTTGTGGTTGCAGGGGTCGATTCTTAGCTCCTGGCCCCGTGTGTGTGTGTGTGTGTTTAACCCATGTTGTGTGATGGAATGTAACAGGGATATATACCTAGTCCTTGTTCCCACTATGTAATTATCATATAAATTAGGGTAGCAGCATATTACCGACGCATTTAATTTTATACAAAAAAAAACAGAAACAGAAAATGTGCCGTGATCAACGAGGACCTACTCTTGTAAATATCAGTAACAGAATTATGTCTATGAGCAGATAAGTGGGGAAAATAGAGTCGTAAAGCACGAAGGCAGCATTTGTACCTCTACTTTCCACCTACGTAGTGTTAGATAAACTTTCTTGCTGGTTACGATCATTTTTTTTCTTTCTTTTTTTTTGGTGTGTGTTTTTCTCCATCGTAAATATAAATTTACCTTCGGAAATAACAAAAAGGTACAACACCGTGAGTGAAACAATACACGAATACCCGCACATAGAAGAGAGAAGCTTGCATGGACGTTTCTGTGCGACTTGGACCATTTACAAAGTCACACAAATACGAAAGAGGGAGGTAGTATATGTAGGCGAGTGTGGACAGGGACGGGACAAAGAGAGGAAGAAGAGGAAGTAACGGTAAGGCTCGTAGTTTAAATGGTGTTAGTCGGACCGAAACGTCCTCGTTAGCTTCTCTCTCTCTTGCCTTAAGAAAAATCGCAATAAAATATTGTATTTTTTTTGTGAGGGGAGAGATTGGATAGGATTCGATACCAAGGCGTAGCGTGTTTTAAACCAACACTCTAACCACTTACCTTGTCTGTAGAACACTTCACTGTTTGTTAATGAGTGATTGTAGGTTTGACACCCGAGTGGCTTATTTTTATTTATTTATTTTATGTCTTTGCAGACAGTACATTGAGATTTTGTATTTACAATAGTGGGTTGCAATGCAAAGAGCCTCTATTATGCCTAGACATTATGGGCCAACTTAACATTATTGGCTTACAGACTACTTAACACTAAGAATTGTATCATAGTTGTAAAGTAGGATAGTAATTATTTCATAGCTGAACGGTAGATTATTAATTATAAATGAATCAAAATTTGTATAAGACAAAAGATATATTCATATATTCAAAAATGCTTTTTGTGAAAACAATGATTCAATTATATTCCTGTCAACAGTGGATAAAAGGTTCAAAGTGATTGTTGAAGTTATGATGTGGGAGAACATAAGTGAGTATGTGTGTACTGAGTATTTAGCATTTAGTCTAGGGTGATTAAGTGGCTTTTGAGAAGAGTCTTAAATTGATTTTCAGACTGGGTTACTTTAATATCTTCTGGTAATGAATTCCATATTTTGGGGCCCTTTATGTGCATAGAGTTTTTACACAGTGTGATGTGGACACGAGGTATATCAAAAAGAGATCTGTGTCTTGTGTTGTGGTCATGTGTTATGCTTGTGACTGTGGACGCACCTGTGGCCCTGAACACAATCCTTGTGCAATTCTTGGTCGAAATAAAGTCAAAGATTCATTCGCAATGTTTGTTTCCTTTGTGTGAGGCTCCTTTCAGGAGCGACGGTGCCATCCTGGAGCACCACTAGGCTCCTTCCACGAGCTACGGTGCAGTACTGGAGCACCTCCAGGCTTAACTTAGAATTTATTAATTATAATAAAGGATATTTCTCAGAAAATTTTGCGTTGACTTTATGGTACAGGTTTACAATCAACCTTAAAGTACAGGAAAGTACATTTCTTAATTTATTCTCCATTAATGCAATCTTAACATTTTATTGATATTATATATATATATATATATATATATATATATATATATATATATATATATATATTATATATATATATATTATATATATATATTATATATATATATATATATATATATATATATATATAAGTATATATATTGAACCAAGACGGGGAGTGATGTAAGGTTGCGTATATGTATCAATATACTCGAGCAGGTACTGCAGCTTGTGTCATAAAAGCCAATGGAAAAAAAACTAGTATGAAAAGTAAAAAAATTATTGAAATGGTTCATTGCATCTTATATACGAAATTCACTTTGTAGTTTGACACACATGAGTGAGTCCAGGACTCCCAGTATGTAGGTGAAACTGCATGATAGATAAATCTCCTGGGTGAGCCAAGTGCTTGATAGATTTATTATTATTTTTATTATTATCACATTATTATTTTTATAATAATTATGGTTATTATTGTTGTTGTTATTGTTATATTCACAGAGAGCTAAATTCGTAGGGGTGATAAAGTACCTGCTTGCTAGAGTCGTACAGTGTATGTAATCCAGACTAACCTGTCACCACCTCGCCTCTTCGTTCACTCTTTATATTGCACAATATCACTCAAAAATAATTAATAAAAGGCATCAAAGGTATCTACCTTGATTTAAAGCAATAGACATTCATCAGCAGGATGAGGAGAGACTTCTCAGCAGTTTTAGAATTACGTGGAATAGTAGATTTGTCTCGGCGATAAAGTGATAAAATCTACGATAACTACACTCCGTATTTAAGTTAGTCGGTGTGTCGCCCGGGGAGGGAGACCTGGGAAGATAAACAAGACACGTAGGTCATGTGAAGGGATGAAGGGGGAATAGGGTGAATAAAGAAAAGAAAACTAAAATATAAGAAATCTCCTTTACCACAGAGGGAACAAAGCGTACATGTCGCCAAATCCGGATACAAAAGTATAAACACAACTTGAGTAGAATAACTGAAAGCATACGAAGCCAGTTGAACATAAAATAATATTAATATTGTATTTTGGGAGCTGTTTTATAAGATTCCAGAAAGCGACTGGCTGGGGGACTGACAGCAGACAGCAGAAGTGTGTGCACAAAACTCAACAGGAATCAGGAGAAATACCAGAAAGAGAGAAGGAAAACAACAGAGGCTGGATAAAACTAATGTTTCCAATGAAGAATTTTAAAAGACACTAAAGGAATTACATACAACGAAGGCGTTTGGTCATCACCTTGAGTTTTGAATGAGCGGAGTTGTGTGACCACACGACGAGGATTCATAACAAATAATCTGAAACGAGGCAATTAACAGGCAGCCGGAAAATTGTGATCTGATATGCAAAAATAAAAATAGACAATGGCTCAGTTACATGCCAGTCTGAGGTATCTGAAGAAACTGAAGAGCATTAGACCACCTAAAAGAAAATGAACATATACGAAACAACCAACGTGAATTTGAGATACCGAATGTTATTTTATGAATCTCCTTTATTCATACTGAAGGCAACTGGAATATAGTGAGAAAGAGAAAGGAAGAGTAGACTGCATCTTCCTTAACTGTGATGAAGCACTCAATACAGTTGCACAAAGAGGCTTGTCGAATTTTTGGATAAGCAGGCAGAAGTAGGATGGAAAGTGCTTAAATTAATGTAATGATAACTGATGAATAGAAAACACCAGATAGCGATAAGAAAGCAAGTATCAGTGTGGGCAAGGCTGACAAGTGGGGTCTCCCAAGTGCCAGTACTTTTACTATTTCTGATATAAATGAAGAATGTGTAAGAGAAAACTGAATCCCGTATCCTGTATATTTGGCTATGATACGAAAGTAATAAGAATAATGACAGCATATACTCCAAGATGATACAAACAAGCTACGAACATGGTAAAGAAGCAATTGCTAGAATTCAACGTCAGTAGGTGCAGAGGAAAGAGACTAGTAGTGGAAAGAGAAGACTGGAAACAGAATTCAGCCTTTGAGGGGAGTGACCATGAGCATCATACAAGGAGAAAGATGTGAAGGAAAGTGCCATATGAAGAATATCACCGGAACCACATCTCAACCGAAGAGCTTCAGCGGCATATGCAAATCTAGCTAACTAAAGAGCTTAATAAACGATATAAACCCATCGCCGGGTACGTAGAGCAAAGATAGAACCCTCTACTGCTCTAGTACGTAACGTAACTCCAAATGACACAAAGATCTGCTACGAAACAGACTTAAGAAACAACTTTAAATAGCTCTAGAGGAAAGAGAAATATCAGAGTGGACATGATCAAGACATACAAAATACTCAGGGGACTAGACTGAGTAAAAAGATGTATAGTAGATACTTTGAGGAGATGATGGGAAAGAGAACTTATCTAGCAGGTTAAAATGCGACTGAACCAGAGAGCAGTTAGGAAGTACTTATTCGGTCTCAAATTCGTAAGTAAATACAATGAGAGATATATGACGAAGAGGCGTAAGCAAACAATACATCTAGATGTAATAGCATTGTTTTTTTATGGAGAGCGGAGGATCAACAAATCTGGTGGTTAATATAGAGATTACAAAGCAAGGAGAGGAGGTATTGACCAACCAGTGGAAACGCCGCCATGTGAATACACACTCACAGTCTCCAGGTAGACTCAACTTTCATGAGGAAGCATCGATCTTTACCCATAATTCCCCCCGTACCCCTTCCTTATGAACCCTCTTCTCCCCTCCCCCCCTCCGTCAGTCGTCCCCTCTCTCCCGTCCCGGCCTTTCCCATCATCTTCTCACCTTTCTTCCCTAT